ATATAATGTGAGTATGTAGAGCAAACTTCTAATTTTATTTGGTAATCGTCCCTGTTATCAAACATTTTATCAACCTGTTATCAACGCTTCATTTTAATTTGAGCGCTTCCCCTTTCTGTGCCAAAAATAGTAACTATTTGTAACAAATCAATCTAAACTACGTCATTTCAAAATTCATTCGCATCATAAGATCTTACATAACACTTCAATGCAGACTCATTTTATCCAATCGCCAAATATGATTTCTATTGAAACCAAAACTTTTGTTTTTCTGTCCCACGTTTTCCGTCTGAATGCGCACTTTTCTGCTTGCCTGCATTAATTAAACATAAAGTAATGTGTCACCGTTTGCTTCTGTGTATCATCTATTGTCTGAAGAAATGTAAGCTTTTAAAAATTGTGCGGGTGCATATTGTGGTAGTAATGATATGAATTATTAGTTTTAAGAACTAGCTTTATCTAGTAATAAAATTATATTGAATCTTAACTTTTATAACTATTGACTCGACATTTTATACATTTCATTTCGAAGTGTAAGTATAAAGCAAATGACCTGAATTAAAAACGGCCATTCTCATTCAAGTGCATCTTCAATTGCACGGTTTATCTTCCTTATCAATTCTTAGTATTTCCTATCTGAATACGACGAACTTTCCTTATCATTTACGTATCCTAAAACAGTTACAGTGATAGAGCTTTATGCATAAATGAATTCATGCACGCATAAGAGCGGCGGGATCTCATGAAGAACTGTATTCATTTATTGCTAGTCAATCTTATTCACAAAAGCAATAATATCATATTGGGTCACCCCAAAAATGATGCGGACTTTCGCTTTTCTTTCATATTTTAAAAGTTTTTAAAAATTAGGCTGCTCGCCTAAAATGGTATTATAAAAAAAAATAAAAAAAGATAATAATTCAAATTTGTCCGGTTAGTGCAATTTCATAAAAATATTTAATACATATAATAAGACATCTCATAATTAAAATTCATTTTTATTTAAATCACTAAGATTAAAAAATGGAAGAAATATTCTTAACAGCTGTTTTTATTTCTTTTAAATCGCTTGGTTTATTTCAATCAAGAACAGACAGATTAAATTTGAATATTAAATACCTTACCCTTTAATTGAACTGCAACACTTTGACACGTAAAGGTTAAAAGAATTTTATTTTAGACAGTGACAACACATTGCTTTTAAATACAAAGTGCACCCATAAAGTAAGCGTATATTCTAAAAAATCAGAAAAAAAAATTTAAAAAATCTGATGTGTACACCACATGACTTCCTTGTACGGAATATTAAATTATACGCATTTTTTCTTGCATTTCATTTAAACTATTGGATTGAATTATTAAATCTACTTCGCCGACAGCGCATAAACCACAATAGAATAAATGCATTCTTTAAAATTCACTCTAGTATTTGTTTTACCATAGCGACACTCTAGCGCTAGATTCACTTAACAGTATTAATAATTATATAACAGTTAACTTATATATTTCGTTCATATATAACTCATAATGCACAAAATTTAATCATTTAAAGAATAGAATTATTAATCGTTGCCACATGTTCTATTCAAATACTATAATAAAGCTAGAATGATGTATAAAAGAAATGAAGCAAACAAAACAAAAAAAAAAGAAACAGTTTTTCACAGACGATGAGATATTTCATTTAATTAATTCAGTTCTCACTTCGCGAGAAGGCAAAAATACATAAAACTCAAAATACCTATATTTAAAATTACGAAGTAAATCTTAAACCTATTTCCTCGAAAAATTTTCAGAAAGAAATAAGCTTGATTTAATTGGCAATAATAAATGAAGGCGTTATCTTTGTTGTTGGGAAGCTAAGTTTCTCTAGATTGGCAACAAATCCACTAGTCTCCTGTTTCAAATGTAAACATCAATGGCCGCCATAAAAAAAAAAGGCTTAGCGGCACTTAGACAACTTTAAAATTGTTGATAATTCTAAAAATATTGCATACAGATTTACTATGAAAAATCTATCTTTTATGAATTTATAGAAACCTTAACCGGAAGATAAAAAAAAACAACATAATTACAATCATTTTTAAAGCAAAAAATGTAGAATTTACAACACATATAAGAGTAAAGAAAATGAGATCACTGAGCCGAGTACAGAGTAACAGGATATATATATAAATAGATTTATATATGTTTGGTGCGGCCGACTCCGACTGTAACCAAAATACGAGGTGCATATCTGTTATAGCAGTCCTATATACAAAATTTCAACGTTCTGAGGCTACTCGTTTTTGAGTTATGCGAGATACGTCTGTACGTACGCACGTACGTACATACGTTCGTACAGACGCCACGAAAAATAATCTTCAGAATTAATTTTAAAGCAGTTTTATAATTTTTTGAAGGAAAAGAGTATTTTATTCTGTCCTTACGTACAGATATCACGCAAAAACATCGTTAAATTGCATTCGATAGCGGTCAAAATGGATATTTTCATTGCAATATGCTGCCTGAAACTTTTCGCGATTACAATACTTCTTTTTACTTCGTACAAGGAAGTAAAAAGGGAAAAAATAAATGTGTGTTTAGAAAGAGTGACATTTCAAGTCTTCTTAAAGCCAGTTTAAACTGGTTATTTTAGCTTCTGCATATCAAAATGCCGGAGATATTTTCATTTACTGAGAAAGTACTGTACAAAAGAATTTGCTTCGAGATAGAACAAAGTTATAACATTAAATTTTTTTAAAGATTAGATAAATTTACTACCGAAACGTTAGAGATGATTCTAACGGCATACGGTGATGCATCCTTACGAAGAACATAAATATATGAGTAGAACAACTGCTTTCGGCAACTTTTAGGCATGCTGGGATAAGCAACGAAGGGTAATTTTAATTAAAATTCTGAAAATGAGGAAGGTTTGTGTTCGATCTACCGAATTTTGACAGAATAGCAAAAAGAATACGGAAGATTTGTTAACTACTACAAAATAAATCTTAAAGTATATCATAGATGGAGATGAGACTTAGTGTCCTTAATACGACCCAGAAACAAAAAGGCAAAGTGCACTATGAAAAAGAATGTCGTCTCCCATACAAAAAAAAAGCACGGATATCGAAATTAAAGATTAAGGTGATGCGGGTTGCATTTTTTTACTACAAAGGGCTTTTTCACCCTGTATTTGTCCTTAAAAATCCATCAATTAATCAACATTTTTATAAGATGCTTTTTTCATCAAGAAATTTCTATCAAGAAAAAGAATAAGAAGAACGTAGAAAGAAAAATTTTTATTCTGGGCAATGGTCTACTTTTATACGATAATGCCCCATACAACATTTTCTGTACAATGATATTATGCTAAGCATTTTGTTGCAGTGATAAATCACCAACCATATTCTCCCGACATTTCGCAAGCTGTTTTTTTTTCTTTTTTCGAAGGTTAAGATAGCCATAAAGGACAGAGATTTGAAAACATCTAGGATATTACGTAAATTGTTACGGGCATTTTGCGAACATTTAGTTTCTTAGCTTATAAGCAATGTTTCTGTGAGCTGAAGAAACGTTGTAAAAATTGCTTTATTTTAAAAGACGATAAATTTATTTGAAAACTAGACCCTTTTTTTTTCTTATTTGTAAGAAATTTTCCAGTTACTTTATAGCCGTTTCTTCTAGCTAAATTTGTTGATCAAAATTGAAAAGTAAATATTTTTTATTTTGCAATGGCAACAGTTTGGCTTGTTTGAGATAAAAATGTTATATTTCGAATAGTGTTGCCTTTATTCGCTTTCAAAGTACTGAATTTGTTAATCAAAATTTAATCAAATTCGTACAAAATATGAAATAATAATAATAAAAAAGGGGAGAAAAAAGTTTGAAATTCCAAATTCGGGTTTCGGGGAGCACATGATCGGGTGGAAGACTATATGAGTCCAAAATCTGGCGTCAAAATTTCGTTCTAACTACCGTCGTTCTTCCACAATGCAAGGAACATACAAACAGATTCTTCATTGTTCAATAATAGAGATTAAGATAAAAAAAAAAGTTCTTTTTTCATCTAAAATATACTTTCCCTTACCCTTTACTATTTTCTCAAGAATTTGATGGGATTTTTTTCACCCCATCTCTCCTTTCTCACTTCCATTTAGCTTTGAAAAAATATTTGTCAAATCGAACTAGACTCTTCAAAATTTGCACTAAGAATAGAAAAAAGGTTGTAGAGACATTATGATCTTTTTGAAAGCAAGAGAAATTGAAAAATTAACGCCTTCGTCGGGAATCGAACCACGGACCTCTGGAATACCGGCCCAGCGTGCAGAAGCACTACACCACGAAGGCACGCTAGGAAGGCGGGAGAAATACCTTATATACTCCCCCTTTTAAAGGGCGACTGGGGTTTTAGGGGACCCAATCGTCAAATCTTGTGTGGGGGGAGAATCATCATCCATCACTTTTTAGTTCGGGCGCCATTGTAGAGACATTAGGCATTTTTTTTTTTTTTTTTTGGTAATGTAAGAAAAATTAGCAACGCCTTCGCCGGGAATCGAACCACTGACTTCTGGAATACCAACCCAGCGTGCAGAACCACTACACCACGAAGGCACGCTAGGAGGGCGGAAGAAATACCTTATAAGGTAAAATTACTATCTGCTTTTATGTCAAGTTGAACGTAGATAGTTTATCCCGGCTTTCTCCAACTTTTATTTATATTACAAAAAGCTTCATATTTTATCAGGTGACGCACTATTTCTTATCCCGGCCTTCTCCAAGTTTTATTTATATTATAAAAAGCTTCATCTTCGCGTAGTAGTTCGATGATATACATGGAACAGAAGATTGGAAGAATGTACAGCTAACCGGAAAAGAGAAAAACTTTTGATGGCAAAAAGTGCACAAAATTTAAAGCGCCCGACGTAAAGTTTGGCGATCGTGGAAACAGTCGAGTTCGCGTGCAAAACATTATCCCGTGACGTAACTATCACAGCGCCAATAACCTTGCAGTAGCCTTTTGGGCTGGCCCGTTTTGCTTAACCGCGATTTTCCCCAACAGCCTCGGATGTCACTCGTGAACAGCGCTTGTCCTACTCTTCATCTGAGCGGTGTTTTTTTGCACTTCGGCAAAGCAACGCTGACTTAGCGAGTGGGTCCGACGATGGCTGCCCTAATGGCAAGGGAGAGATTATTTAAAATATTCGTATCGTTTTATGTCCTCCTGTGCCTCTCAATTAGATTTACAGCATCTAAAGATGAACGTAAGTTTCTTTTTTAAGTATTCATTTATTTTATGTTAGAAAGTTACTTTTCCACCCACACATTTAATTAAGTTGTAAATCTTTTTGAAATGTTTAAATGAATGTAAGTTTTTCGATGCAGTACGAATTCAAACACTTTGTATTTGGATGTATTTAATGTCTGAATTTACCCTCAAAACTTTTCTGATTATAAGTTTCTTCCTATCTATATTAGTGTTGATTGTTCGCAGTTCATAAACATCGCTCTTCGTAAAGCCATTTATTGGATTGACATGCTTTAATGTCTGTCTCTGTGAATTAATGAAAGGTTGAAATAATAAAAAATCTACTTTACTGTACATAAACTGTTGATGAAAAATATATCCATGTTTGTAATACTTTTGGCTTTCAGCCGGTTCTGTCAGTGTTTTAGTAAATTACTACTTTGATGTCTGCTATTGAAAATTGTGCTTTGTTTACAAAATTTTTAGTGTACTGTGTTCTTTTTTTAGCAAAACTTTTAGTTTTGACAGTTGCAACAGAAGAAACTGACGGTTTCAAGCGATTTTTAAGGTCTGCCAAAGTGTATGGAATAAACGTAGAAGTAAGTGTATTTTAATAGTAAACGTATCATGTCACCTGTCATTTATTTTTTAAAAAAATGTCTCTTCGTCACCAAATAGAATATCACATTTCATAATAGAATATTTTATATTTATATTATTTTTGTGTCTGAGTGTATATATATATAGTATAACATCAAACATTTTCATTAAAAAAAATTAAACCCTTCCGGTTTCGAATTTGAATAAGTTGCAGAATTATTTTTTTCGGCGGAAATCTTTTGGCTATTGCTTTTAGCACTGATTGAAAACCGTATTCGCCATAACCATGTACACGTCGACTTATTTTTACTTAAAAAAACATCCCAGAATTGCACAAAAATGGCACTGCGCACACTGTTGACTTTATCCATGTACACTGCTATTTTCTCATAAATTACAAAAATTTGCACGAAAATGCAGGAAAATTTTGTGAATTTCCACATGCTCTTTTTACAAAACTACGTATAACACGTAGGGTTGCCGTAAGTAGGGTTCAACTTATTCAAATTCGAAACCGGAAGGGTTTAATTGCTATTTTATATTTTAAAACAAAATAATATAAAAAACTGTATTAAAAATTATCTGTAATTAATAAATGTACATTTTCTTTCTATTCATACTTTTTTACTCAAAGTTACAAATAGCGCCAATCTGGTTGCGATAATACGTAAGTGCCATACTTTCTGTTTGCAAGTATTCTGACACCGTATGCTCGATGAGGTGGAGCATTTTCATCCATTAGTAAAACCTCTAGGCCCAAGTATAACTTGGGATTCCAGTACCTCATCCATATATCTCAAAGCAGTTACAATACCTCCTTGAAGGATATATAGCTCGATGAGGTCATTTGTCATGATTCTTCCCCAAACCATTAAACCGCAGTTGCAGAAACCGGATATTTCACAGACAATGGAAGGCAGGCTGTGTATTCCTTCTTCTCTCCAGATCGAAATACGTCTAGAATAACTAATAATGTATCTCAGTAAACAATAAACTGCCAGTAAATAATCCACTGAACTTAGTCATTTTGGCTCCATTGAATTTGAAGACGACACCAGTTTAAATGGTCCCTTCTGGAAGCTGGAGTGGACAAAAACCATTGGATTTTTGCACAAAGTCCAACCTTGTTAAGCATTCATGCAGCAGAGGAATGGGGGTACAACTCTAATATACGCCCTAATTTCACCAAATGTGGCAATATGTGTCTGCGATGTTTTGGCACGATGCGTGTTCCATGGCAACCCACCTGTTGACGTGAAAAACTTTCGCTGGAGCGTGTGATTCGACTCGTGTTGCGAAGATGGGAGGGAAAGATAAAATGAGTTGTGATTGAAGTTCGGCAAAAGGAAAATCATTGGCTATCTGTGAGGGGTAGGGGATTTGGACGGTGAAAAGAGGTCTGGAGATATTTTATGGAGTGCGATAGACGTAGGATTGTGATTTAGTATTTGGAACCATAGTAAAAGTTGGTAGTGTGTCTGGTGTCATGTAAATACGCTAGTGAAGACGTGCGGCTGTTAAAGGTGGTTGAAATTGATATTTCTGCTATTCGAAAAGCGTTATCATGGTAAGTGCATTTATTTTCCTTGTTCTTATTGTAGAATGTTATGTTATTGGTTCTTAGTATGAATTTCTGTCGTTATGTTGTTTTTTAAACTTTGAAAGTATTTAGCTTATTTGTTGCTAGTGTTAGACGTGCATCGTGATGTTTCAAAGTTGAAATAGAAGCTGGTAATGGTTTATGAAATTATGTTGTTGTTATTTATAAGCGCGGCTGCGTAGATCGTAGATTCCTTCTGCTAAATTGTGCAATTCGTAGATTTTTTTAAAGTTAAACAGGATGATGTGTAATGGTCTTCTTTTAAATTTATTGTTGTACGTTAAGTTTAAAGCGAGGTGGCATGTGTAGTCGTTCATGCTATATGTGCCTTTCGAGATGTTTTTTAAGTAAACATGGCTGTTACTGGATTTGTCAAATATTTTTGGTGAGAACTTTCCGTTTTGCTATCTTTTTTTTTTTTTTTTTTTGGATTTTTAGCTAAATGTGTGTTCAAAACGTAGTTTTTTGCATGGCGGAAAACCGATTTTGGAGACATTTTAGGCTTAAAAAGTTCGAATGAACGAAACATTTAGATAGTAATATGGCAGCGTGAAGTTTCTCACCAAATATATTTGGCGAGAAATTTGGCGTCTTGAGGGCGCATATCAGAGTAGTTCCGGAATGGCTAATATGAGTTCCTGTGGTAGCCTGAAAGTCTGAAACCAAATCTGTAGTAGTCATTTCGCAGTTTCTTCAAACCAACAGTGACAGAAAATGATCTTCTGATGCAGTTATGGCCCTTGATCAGGCTGTATGTGAACTGATCCAGTGCTTAAAGAAGCAGTTTTAAACTATTGATATGATACTTTGAGGTATATTTAAATCATGGGCGACCTCCATTTGTGTTTGACCTCTCTCGATTTTACAAAATATTGGCCACTTATGACCTTCACTCAAATGATGACTTATATCCATAACTGTTGATTACTGATCACTTTCAAAAATCATATTTACTTTAAACAACACTACAGGCTGGAATTCCAACATGCGTCAATTGCACAGTACATTGTCAATCATCAAATTTTCATATTTATAGCACTAACGTATATGAAGTTCAATTTTATGTTCAGTTGTATTTATTGAATATAAATAATTACAGCATTGGGCATTGGTTGCAACATTAACTTAATTTTTCTAATTATCCTTATCAGTGTATATACATACTCTTAATGAAAACATAAAAGCATTGGCAAGAAAACTTAGAATGCAAAGTATGTTCAAATCCTATCAGGATTAGAGTCAGATTTAGACTTTATAAGTCCCTAAACTATTTGAGATAAGTCTGTTATACTATGTTTTAATACTATATTTATACAATATTTTAATTTTGGGGGAAAGGTGGGGCCCTAAGCTATAGATCGCGTAGCTTATACGTAAATTCTGCACTGATCAGGATATTGATCTTAAACGCACAGCCCTAAATGCTTTGGATTATTTTACATTTGTTCTAAAGTTATCAAAAATTCTTCATAATCTTGGACTTAAATGCTATTGATCATGTATGGAGTGGTTGGAGAAAAGAATAATGAAACATATTTCTTTGGAAGTTTAAATGAAAGCCATACTTAAAAAGGAATGGAACATACTTATACAGAAAAATTAGTTGAATCTGTGCTGAAGTGAATCAAAAATGTAATTTTAGCCGAAGGCTATCCTTCAAAATATTGAATTTTAAGTTTTTTTATGTTTTTCTTAGTATAAACTGTTTTTTAAAATGTCCGAATTCATATGAAAGTTCATTTTTTAGAGCTTTCAAGTTTTTTTTTTTTTTTTTTTTTTTAAATGTTTTCAATAACTTTTCTCTAAGCAAGCAGGTTTTTTGAAAAGATGAGCATTAGTATGTGTGAAAGAAAAATACAGTCATTTTACTGTATTTAGTACTGATATTTTCAAATGAAATTGAAAAAGAATTATCTGTGAATTGAAGTGAATATCATTTACTGTGTTTACTCATGTAATAGTCGCACTTTTTTTGCCAGTTTTTCATTGTGAAAGGCTAGGTGCGACTATTATGCGGGAGAAATCTGCTACACCATATTGTACATTTTTGATTTTTTCCACTTCAAAATGAGTGTGCAACTATTGCACTAGTAAACACAGTATAAATGAATTGCCTTGTTCTGTATTTTAATCGGAAAATTAATTTTAAAACTGTTAAAGTGATGTTATAGCAGTATAATTGCATAAATTTTATAACGGATGGCGAAATTTGGAAATTGTATAGTGCTGGCTGCAGAAATCTTGTAGTTCAGGAAGAGGTGAAGTGGTGAGCCTTTTTAGCTATTAATTTTTAGTAATTAGCAATTTTAGTTTATGAATATGAAAAACTGCTTTTATTAATTTTTTTTATTAATTAACATTTTCTGTATTTGGTGTTGTTTAATTTATAAAACACATAAAAAATTTAAATCTAAGTAAATGTATACATGTATTTTTTGAGTTTTGGAAAAGAGGGGGTCAAGAATGATCCTAGATATGGTGAAAGGTGTGCATGGGGCAAAATAGGTTGAAAACAACTAGTATAGTAATTATGTGGATGTGAAATATTGTAATGTAAAAAGGTACATTTTGCTTTGCTGTAAGAAACAAATTTTACCATTAAATAATTATAAGAAATTATTCATAATTTTACTACTCTATTATTTAATGTTTAATTATAATTTGAATTGATGTATAAGTAGGCATCAGATTTGTTTTCAAGTAAGCTAATGTGATAAAACAGATGAATTAAATATAGGAATGTTCAAATGCATTTTCGTTATCAGTATAATTTTGTATAGGAATTGCAAGTGTGTCTTATTTTTAGCTTTTATGTATAGTTATTGTTAATAGTTATATATATTTATTGTTAATAGTTATGTATAGTTATAGTTATAATTAATTTTCTGCTGATATATGTGTAATGAAGAATATTGTTCTAAAATTGATTCCATTTTTATGGTAGATTATTTGAGTAAATTTAATTAATGTGTTGAATGTATAGGTATCTGAGTGTCCTAGATATTTATTTTTTGTAAAAATATGAATAGTTTTGATCAAATAAACCAAAAAATAGTCAACTACATTTTTATAATAATTTCACTTGAAACTGATTAATTTGTAAAGCAGAGGAGCTGTTTGAATTTATGAAATTACATATATCTGTTCCTTATTAAATGTTTTGATTCATGTCTCAAAATTTTAAAACTCAAGAGTTAGATAAATGAAATCATATATATTTCAAGCCATTAAATAATATGTAAAAATACACAATACCTTGCATTCATTTAAGTAAATGTACGTTATATTATGACATGAATATTCATATTAAAAATTTTGAGTATTCTAAATTTTAAATGATGTACGGTTTCTGTCAACAGGTTTTAGGGATGAATGAAGAATGGAAAGGAGGAGATGTTCGTTTATATTCAGGTGGTGGTCACAAAGTTAACTTTTTAAAGCAGGCCATGGAAAAGTATTATGAGCAGAAAGATCTTGTCGTAATGTTTGTTGACAGGTAAGTGATATCTTCTAGTCCTAAGATATGGATTATTATGAATTACCTTTAGCGGCTGGGATAACCAGTAATCGAACAGTAAAGTTGCAAAACACTGATAATCAGAACCGGATTTAGATTTGATGAGATGCTAAGCTATTTGAGATATGGGACTCTTTATGAGGGATATGTCTATTTTTTTTTTATATGGGATATGATACTATTTTTGGGGGTGGCTTTAAGTTATAGCTTGTGCAGTTCATACGTAAATCCGGCACTGTTAGTAATCCAACCTGAGTTTGAATCACGGTGAATGGGCGAGCTGCATGGGATTTTTTTGGTTTTTCCCATGTGTAATGTGGAGTTCAGTTTCCCTTAAAAAGTCTTCCATGAAGGCATCCCTTCCCTTAAGCAGATAGCCCTTTGCTTTTAACCAGTTAGCCAAACCTACTTTACCATTAACAGTTAGAATGAAAATAAAATATGCTTAAGATCAAGAATGGTAAAATGGCAACTTAGGGGCAATGTTTGGTCCATCAGTTTGTTTATAATAGCTTGAAAACTATTCTTAATTTATAATTGATTAATTAATAATTTATTTGATTAATGATTTTAATTTATCAAATTATTAATTTAATTAATTTATTGTAATGATTTTAATCAATTTATTTAATCATTATTATTTATTTTAAATTTATTTGTTAGCATTAATTAATAATTCGATTAATTTTATTATTCAAATTGGAAAGATAGTAATTTTTTTCGTATGTGCTTGAACATTTTTAGAACATGCTTGCTACATTTGGTCAGACTTAAATTATCTTGAATTTAACACTGAGTTCCAAGAAAATATTATTAAAAAATATCTACGATTGCCTCTCTGATGATAGTTTGTGATTTTCATGCCCTCAGTTGCTTTTAATGGCAGTCATTGCTTTAGATTTTTAATACATTCTACATAGCTTTATCAGTCTTCTATGAATACAAAGCAAAATGTTTTAAGTTAATTTAATTTTACTTTCTTGTACAGTTCAGTGTGCATAATACGTATCTTTCCTGTTTCTGCAATAATTTATGTGTCAAAAAAGCAACTTTCCAGCAAACTTAAATAAAAGAATTTTAACCATGTGGAAGATATTTATACATGTTCATATTGCTCATTTTCGTAGGTGGCACTTTCTTACAAGCACTTTTTACATATCCTTTAGTTATTCAATCTTGATGAAATTATCCGTTCAAGGCTTAATAATATGAATGTAGTTATATTTTTTCATCTTAATAATTTATTGTAATTATTTTTCTAAGAATTTTTTAAATTTCAGTATATAGTACAAAGTCTGTAATCCGGACCTCCAAGCTGCAAACTTTATGCACATGCATATGCGTTTACACACGCGCATAATGCATTTACACATGCGCCTTTAATGTATAACGAACGGTATAAGCTTGGCTAAAATGCTAAAATTATCTAAGGCATTTCAGTTAATGTTGCAGATTGTGCTGTTCCTTAATCTTCTAATTGGATTCGGCTTATTATTTTTTGCAGACTGTTAGAACAATTTTATAAAAATTAAGCTTGAACTTTCGATTATGTCAAAAAGAGTTTCCAATTCTGGAGCTTTCCAATTCTGCATCTACAAAGCGAAACCATGTTTCAATGTCCATTAACCAAAAAGTGGATTTGCTGCAAGGATAAAGGCCTATCCATCTCAAAATTATGCGAGAAGTATGGCATTGGAAAGTTCATATAATGACACAAGAAAAAAAGGAACTTCTGAATTTTTTGGGAAGCATCTTAAACAACTTACATTGAAAGAAAGTTTAATAAAGTAAACAAATAAATATTAAGCTTTTTTTTTTTTTTTTTTTTTGTAAATTTTGATACCCTTTAGATCATAATTGTTCTTTATTTCATAAATTACGATTTCATATTTTTAATTGTATAATTTCTGCATGCCATTTTACCAGATTTAAATTGATGATCTATAATCGGGGAAAACCGCTAATCCGGAATCGCCAAAGTCCTGACGAGTCCGGATTAAGGACTGTATTATTGATGGAAATTGCTGTATCTGCACTGATGAAAAGTAAATTTCTCTCTGGTGTTAGTTAGACAAAAATTTTATTCAATCTTATTTGAAAGTAGATGTTTCGATGCTATATTCAATGACTTTTTAAGCCTTACCAGTGGCTGAGTGGTTAAAACACTAAATGCTGGTAGTTCAACCCAGGTGAATGGGCTGGCTGAATTGTCGATTTTCATGATTTTATCGTACATAACATGAATATGAGCTACTTTCTCTTAAAACGTCCTTAATGAAGGCATTGTTTCTCATAGACAGGTAGCTCTTGTGTACTTTGCCATGCTCCTAACCTAATCAATGGTTATCAATTGAAAGAAAATAGATCTGTGGGGGTATTTGATATGATTTTGTAAACCCTTTTAAAAAAATCTTGAATAGTGCTCAGAAATGGAAATTGCCAAATTTATTTCAATAAAGTAAATGCATTATTTAATTTTGTATGTAACTAAAATTTGACAGTTGTAACTAATTTTATATGGAATGTAGAGTTGTGTAAAAATATAAAATATGTTGGATTCTATGATAAAAATTTACCTAATTCTCATAAATTTGAGATGAGAAATTTAAAATTCTTACTTAGCCTTTTCCGGCACGATCCCTTTTAAAGTCGGAGTTTTGATTTAAAAAAAAAAAAAAAGTATGCAGTCTAATTAGGCCTAGAGGAGTACACAAGTAAAATTTTGTGAAGATAGCAGTTATCTTTTAATTCTGTAGGTGTGCCCAAAGTGGCACACTGATTGAATAGAGCTCCGAAAAGAGTGCTGAAACGAGCATTGTTGTCAATGAACTGACCGATGAGATGCGGAGAAACAAGGAGATTGGAGATGCGGAGAAACAAGGAATACAGACTTTCAGTTGTCCTAGATTATTGGTGAGCCTGGTCTGGGCACATCTAGGGTTCGCCGTTTGGTTTTAGGCAAGATTTCAAGGTAAAAATTTAAAACTAATATAGATTAAGGAAATTAGCATACAGCCAAAAAAATAACATAGAAATTTATTTTCAAACAATTCCTTTTATACCCTAAAAAAAATCTGGAAGATTTCTTTGAAAAATAAGGGTCTTAAAAAACTAAACATGTCTAAAATATATGGACTGGTTTGTGTTGAGCTGCCATTTACTATAAATAAAGAAGGTTCAGAGTAACCTATAAATCCTATTTCATTCAATTTTTCTGTGCATACAAAAGGAAATTTTTAGGTGTGTCCAGGCCGGTCACACCGTGCCGCAAAGGTTTAAAGAAATCTATCTTGTTTGAACTGTTTAAGTATGTGTTAACTTGTTACATTTAAGTGAAAAATGAGTGATTTACAATTATGATATAATATGTTTAGTTTAATCATATACCATGTTTACTCACGAATAGTCACACTTTTTTGCCAATTTTTCATTGTGAAAGGTCTAAGTGCGACTAATATGTGGGGAAATCTGCTATTCAATATAGTGTACTCTAACGCTAAAACATTACTGGTATAGAAAATATATATTATAATAAAATTAGTAACTTACCAAATGTTTCTAGATTATGTGTTGCTTTTTAAATTGTCTTTTCATCAGTTTCACACAAAAAGAGGCATTTTTCTTTTTATGGTAATATTTTTATAACGATAAAATTCACAAATAATCTTTGTGAAAATTTTTACCAAAAACTTCTAATAACATAATATATAATTCATAATAAATCACTTTCACTGAAGGTATTAAGTGTCACTACTGCAATGTGAATTGGCGTCTGAAGAATCTTCGTCATTTCATTAAATGTCATCATCACTTCCAAAGCATTGGAGATACCGCGCATCCATAATTTTGTAATGCACAGACATAAGAAAGAATTTTCTATTCATTTTTATTTTTTTTTCTATCATTTTCTATCGTAAAAATTCCACGCTTCAAACCTGTGACTGCCTTGCCTATTTGCACTTCTTTCTTATAGCGATTGTTTGGATTTTCACCAGTCCCTTAATTAATTTGTCACTTGCATTCCATTCTCTTTCAGCAGTTTGCTTTCCATTCTCTTCAGCACATTCAATAATCTTCAGTTTAAATCCCACTGTATAACTACTGTTCTTTTTTAACTTTCTCATATTCAAACAACAACAACAACAAAAAAAAAAAAAAAAAAAGAAAGAAAGAAAGAAAGAATAGACATCCAAAACACAGCACCATGAAATTCACCACAAAACAGAATATCAGCAAAGCTTCTTATTCTATAACTTTAGATATGTGCAGCCCAGTAAATTTAGAGATCATGCATATTTTCTTTAATGAAGAACAAGTGGAAAGCTTTAACATGAGGAGGAGGAGAATAAGAAATCCTGCTCCAGAAAAGCTCTCCATCCTCTTAGGGGAAGAAGGCAGTTCTTTATCTCGCTATGGAGTGACCATTGAGAATGTCAATGGGAGTGACAGAACAGATGAATCCATAATGAGTTCTAGTTCTGGAAAGAGTAAAGCTGATAATTTTCTGTTTTCTAGATGAAGATCAAATATGCAATGCGAATTTATGTGAGGAAAATATTTTGATTGATTTTTTCTGCATCAAAATGTTAGTGTGACTATTACGCGAGTAAACACGGTATACTAAAACAATAATATTGCATGAAATAAATAAAATTTAAAGTCTCAGGATGGGTGCATCAGTTTTCATAACATTTAAAATTTCCTTCCTGTGGCATCTATTATAAAATTATACCCCGTCTGAATATTTACAAGGTCCACCAGTAGTAAGCAAGACTGGGAATACCAATAGCTTTTATTTTAGGCTTAATTCGTAGCAAACAGGCTGCTACCATTAGATTTTTAATTTCCTTCATGTTTAATGTGAATACCAGCCAGTCTCACACAAAGTTGAGAATTTATGTCTTTTATTTATAGTTTTTAAAATTATTCAATTTCAAATAAGTTAGACTGTTAGTTGATTTGATTTAAATTTGCTGTAATTATTTTAACTTTGTGTTAATGTCCTACATAAAAGATATCAGTTTGAACACTCTTCCCCCCCTTTTTTTCCGATTATATGAAGAGAATGATAATTCTACTAACTTGTTACTGATACTATAAATAAGGATAATTATTATCACACTAATATATAAACATTCTTTCATGGCCTGGCCTATTTTGTTCAAAATATTGTTAGGTAAATAAAGTTTATATGTCAGTACAATGCTTTAGAATATACATAGAGGGAATTCACTGAAAAAAATTAATGAAAATAATTTCCATTATTTTTTGTTCTTGAAATGACAAAAGCTCAACTAAAATTTAGAATGGTATTTCTTTTTAATGACATTTTAATAAGTGTATTATATTATTCCTGTTTTCATTCAGTTTTTATTTTCTTGTTGTGATGTTTATATATTAGTAAATTCCTGCATTTTTTATTTTATTTTTGTTGATGAATGAAGAATTTTTTATATTTCTGTTAAAGTAAGTTTATAAGTTAAACTTTTTTATGGGAAAGATATTAAATGGATTGCATTTGCTTAATAAAATCTAAATTTTGATGTGCTTTGGTTTTTGCAGCTATGATGTTATTTTTATGGCAAGTCCTGATGAAATCCTGAAAAGATTCCATAAGACTAAGGCTAAGGTTCTTTTCTCTGCTGAGGGTTTCTGCTGGCCTGATCCTACTCTAGCTGTAAGATTAAAAAATATATTACTTGATTGCAGTAGTTAAGTAATTTTATGACTGTATGAAATATAACGTTCCGGGCATTTAAAAAAGTTTTAAAATTAAATATTTTGCAACCGTGATCTCAAATTGGCGGCCCCGAAGCAGTTTTACGTAGCCCGCCAAGATATTTAGTTAGGAATTTGTTGCAAATTTGTTATGGTAGAAAGATCTCTATGTAAAAAGATTTCGACGTATTAATTCGTGACCTCAAATTGGTGGCCCCGGAAGCAATTTTACGTAGCCCGCCAAGATATTTAGTTAGTGATTTGTTGCAAATTTGTTATGGTAAAAAGATTTCAACATGTTAATTATTTAAGGTCCAAGGTTACATTATTTGTCATTGTCATTAAAAGCTAATGTGAATAACACATCAGTAAATCTGTAAATGGAACCAACTAATTTACAGTGTAACTAATATTCAGAGATCTTTAGATACAGATTTTATTAACTTATGTTTCTACTTGTCAAAATTAAATAAGTTACAAATTTTTTACACTAAGAATCGGAACACATTAGCATGCGAATAGCTTTTTTCACAATTTAAATTAATAAGTAAAAAAAAAAAAAGATTTACTGATAAAATATTTACAATTTGTGATAAAGATAATTTTTTTAGTAATTTTTCTCCGAGGCTACAAACTTTATCAGTCAAAATGCCAGCCAGTGCCAAACTGTGGAAAGAAATTTTTTAAAAAAGGCTTATAGTTATTTATATACAAACTTATGTGTTTTTATTTATGAATCAAAGAAAAAATTAATAAATAAGAGAAAGAGATTAGCGCATCTCGTTATTTTTCTGTGTAATTATTGACATATTTATTACAGTTTAAAATAATTAAAAAGTATAATTGGACAAAAATAAGTCAAATTTGTGAAAAAAATGTAAAAAAATATTTTTAATTGGCTGTATTAGCTGGTTTTCAGTTGGCTGTGTTAGCAGGACTCAGTTTTTGTAAATGTATGACTTATCATGCAACTTGAATCCAATTTTCAGTCAACAAGAGTGTTCTTTCTGATTGCTGGAAATTGTTAAGTTGCATCTTCTGTGTCAGAATCCGACATTTCTATGGTGTTCCCTGCAACATCACTATCTCCTTCCGATTCACTTGTAGAATCCCAACCGTAATCTTCATCATCTGTGCTGTCGTAATCAGAAGGATCACACTTTTCTAGTAATTCTAATATTTCAGCATCAGTCAATTTTTTATTTACTTTTTTTTGTATTGGACTGTGAAGGCCCTGCAATACTTGTACTGTTTGCCATTTTTAAAAATGGCCATAAAAACATTGAAACACAATATTTTAAAGCCACACACTTAAAATATAAAAATAATGCTTTACTAATATGTCTCAAAAACCTCTTTGTTCAACCTCCAAAGCCGCACTAAAAATAAAGCATATAACTTATCATATTCGATCGGTGTCCCACAGCGTCACCGACATACGATTTAGCTTCATGCTGACATGACAGCACATCAGTGGCAGCGAACATGTTAATAAATGACTTCATAAGGATAATGTAATTTATTTTAAAGGGAATTTGTTACAAAAGTAATCTAGAAGTTATTAAATAAAAAAATAAAACATTATATTTTAATGAGTTGAAAAAATTAGCAAAGTATTTAATACAAATGATAAGTACAATATTGCAGAGTGACCAAATCTCATATTTTTCATTATGGTAAACCTCCATATCACCAGTTTCAAATGTGGTTCTGAAAGAGTTGTTGATTTTAAAGTGTCAAAAATATAATACTATAAGAAAATTAATGGCGAATTGGGGAGAGGAACTTGTTATATTTTAGTGAAATGTAAATTGTTCAAACTCCATTTTTTCCTTGTGATTTTTCAGTGTAATTTTTTTAATGAATTTGTGCCTACCATATGTAAAGTTGCTAACACTTGTAGTTTCATGTGTGATTGAATCTCCATGAACAGGCTGGCTGCATCTTGGTTTTCATTGTTTTCCCTACGTGTAACATGGTTATGAGCCAGTTTCCCTTAGAAAAGTCCACAGAAGCATCTCTCTGCATAGGCAGACAGTCCTTAAGTTGCTTTGCCTTAATCAAATAATCTTAATTAATTTTTATTCCTTCTAGAACATTTTAATCTGTTACAGAGATTTATAGAGAATTTGCTTATATACTCATGTTGATATTTTGCTTGCTCATGTTGATTGATATAAAATTTTGAGAGGTAACAAAAATTGAACAAAATTAGCTGAAAAGTGTAACTTAATATTTAATTTCATTATTCTGGATTAAAATTTAATATGTATTGCATCAAATTCCTGTTATGATTAGTTTAGTAATTTGAATGATGCATTGAAAAATGAATAGAGAAAAATTATATTGGTATATCAATAAACATCACAAAAAATGTAAAATCATTTTCACTTCAGTATCAGTATGTAATCCTTGCATTGCTGCATAATACAAAGTCTTTTTGGTTTTTCATATTTCGGTCTTGGCAAGTTATGGTATTGCACTTGGCACAGAAAGTCATAAAATCACCTGATTTTTTTTTTTTTTTTTTTTCTGTGCAAATTTTTAATTGTCTTTAGGGGCACAGATGGAACTTCAGTCATAAAAAACACAAAAGTACCATAGTGATAAAAGGGGAATATGGCAGCTATCAATACCAATTATTGTATATCAAATCTAAAGTTTCTGTAAGATAAATTCATTCTGTGACATCTATTGATATTGTGTAATATTTTTGCTTGTGAAAGTGGATGATCTCTGTGTATTTGAAACAGCCATTAAAAAAAAAAAAAAAAAAAAAAACCTGGTCCGTAGAATTTTGTAAGAGACTGCTTATTTTATTTTTGCAAAAAAATTATTATCCCAGCAACCAGAAATCTGTCATGGCATTTAAATAGTACCAAAACCATCATTTACTTTGCAATCTTGGTGCCACATAAATTCACCTAAATTGAATCTAACTTGTATCATGTAGATCCATTTTTTAGTGCACCATTTTGTTTAATAGTGTTTCAATGTTTTGGGTTTGTGCACCAGTATTAGGAGCTCCAAAATTATATTGGAGATTATCTGTAAAACACTTAAACAACAATCAAAATTGCAATAACAACCTTGTATTTAGCGTACATATATACTCAATCGATTTCGGCTCTCAATCCGTACATACACTCAATCGATTTCGAGAGCAGCAAAGGAGTCTCAGAAACACCCTTTTGCTGATGCTTTATTTTTCTTCTTTTTTCCCTTTTCTAGTAATTCCGTTCTCCTGATGAGGAGGGACCTTTAGCTGCCCTCGAAATCGATTGTTTTAATATATGTACACTAAATACAAGGTTGTTATTGCAATTTTGATTGTCACATTGGCGTGTTTTTTTCTATTCTACTTAAACAGTAGTTCAATAGTTTTTAGGGCCTTCCAAAAATCCAAAGCAACTGTAGCATGAATAAAGCAGGTTGAATACTTCCATGATATAATAACTTACAGCCTTATTTACAAAATAATATAATTTCTTTATGACTGAAATTTGTTAACTAGGTATAAGGACTTAAATACTTCTTCGCAAAAAATAACTTGGCTTATCGAGGATCAGGTTACATAAAACAAACATGAGTGAAGATATTGATGCCATACTTAACCATTGCGGGCACTAAAATGAACTGTTTGGAAACAGCTTTTGTTTGTTGAAATGGTGAATGGCAATTGAAATGGTGAATGGCAATAATTGGACAAAAATAAGTCAACATAAAGTCATACATAAAGGCCATTTTGTACTGCAGTATTCACTTTATGCTAGAAAATATTATTTTATGTTAGTCTCATTTATCATGATTTAGATTTTATAAGCATGTAGAAAGAGTGAATTTCCTATTAAAATGCTGTGTCACTTTTTTTTTTTTTTTTTTTTTTTGCAGGATAGCTATCCAAAAGGTGAAAAAGGAAAAAGATTTTTAAATTCTGGAGGTAAGCTCTTTATTACAATTTTTTGTTGTTGTTTTGAGTTACCTTTTGTATCAACAGTGAAATTGATAAATGCATTTATATTCACATATGAAGCTCCATATTGTATAGCTATGAATTATAATTGATTTTGTACTTTTATCCTCTCTTTTTTAATTTGGAATCAAATTTAAAAACCTTTTCTCTCCCAAATGTTTTCATTAGAAGCTAAATATAATGATATAATTTTCTTCTTATATTTGGAAGGAAACCTTTTCACATTTCTCATGAATTATATAATTAGTAATATATGGTTGTTAGAAAGCTGAAATTGCAAGGCATTATATATTTCTAATAATTTTATTTTATAAACTTGATAATGTTTTACTCTGAACTTCTAAAAGTATTATTTAAAGATGATTTTACATACAGCCTTATCAGTGTCATAGATTTCATTTACAGAACTACAGGTTTAATCCGTACTACAATTTTTATAAGAGGCTATAAGTGTACTAATTTCTCTGCTTGCCAGAACATGATTACTGTCATCTTTAAATACTCACGTATGCATTCTAATTATTAATTTAAAACCAAATAAAATTAAATGTGATTTTTTATAAGAGGCCTGTTTGTTTTATGGAAAATGCATGCTTATTATGACTTAAATCATTTTTTCTCTTTTTAATAAGCATATTTTCTAAAATATTATGGGAAATATAAAAAAGAAAAAATACCCTACTTGCAATAAATATTTTTAGACCTAATTCATTATACAGTTTTGGATAACAATCCAGATCAATTCAGGATTTTTTATTTGCTAATTTTACTGCCAGTGTGGCCTGTTTGAAATATTTTTCACTCTTTTAAAAATCATTATGAAAATACTGTTTAGATGCATTTTACTTATGGGAAAGATAGTAATTGTATTTTTTATTTTATTTTTGCAGTATTAATTTGTGTGATGCCTTGATTTATGTTATAGAGCATGACGTTCAAATTTGCATTTAACATTTCTTTTCAATTAACATCATATTTTAATATAGTAAAGCATATAGAGTAATAATTCATTCTTAACTATGGTATTTTGTGCTTTCCTTTTTTTTCCTCCTTGTACCTCTACTTTGTGCTTTGTTTGGTGACTTGCAGGCTGTCCTGACTTCTCTTATACAGGTAAGGGTGAATTGTAGTATATTTTACCTCCTCTTCCTGCATGATTTTCCTTCAGCTATTCGTTTATTGTATTTGAACTTATCAGATAAGTTTATTAAGCAGATATCAGATAAGTTTATTAAGCTTCTAAAATGAATTTAAATCTGATAATCATGCATTTTCTGTAATTTAAGGAAATAAAATTTATTTTAGGGATGTAAGCACTAATGATCATATAGATTGAAATTTAATGAAGAGTTTAGGGATGTAAGCACTAATGATCATATAGATTGAAATTTAGTGAAGAGTGAAACTTTACTAAGATGACTGTCCATAGTTTTAAATGTTTTTTTTTTTTTTTTCTTTATGGAAGTGGTTGTCTTAGAGAATTTAAGGTACTTTTTGGTTATCAGATACCCACTGGTACATTGCCAGAAATACAGCTCATGACTTTTTTTCATATTTTGCATGCATTTGGCAACACTAGAAGCTGTTCTGGGTTCTTTCAGAAAGATGAGTTTTTATTTTTTATTAATGTTTTCTCTTTTTTGGAAATGGTGGTGGAAGTTGGGTGGGCAGCTTCTTTTCTATTTTTTTGTTTTAGCCCAAAAATGCTATTTTTCTCAAAACAGCATTTTCTGTCGGTTTACTATAAATGACGATTTCACTTTTCAAATTGTTGCCACCAAGTATTATCACCCTGTATTATACTTAAAAAAATAAGTAGTGAAGAATCTGCATGAATGTATATATGTTTCTCATGTTGCGAAAAACGATGGTACCTAGTGCCATCAAATTTTGAATAATGTAGTCCTCCACCTCAATATGGGCACTTAGAAGCCACAATTTGGAACTTGTTTTATTGCCTACATTTTGCAAAACTTTAAAGAGTTTTTGATTAACAAAATCAACAATTTCAAAGTGGGCAATGGCAACACTATACAGAAAAAAAACTCCAACACCTGAGACTGTCTATCAGAAATTCTAAGATATGCTGTTTTTAAATCATTTTAGCCCAAATGCTGTTGAAACATGCATGTGTGTGCCAGTGAGAAAAACACACCTTTTTTGGGGGTAACATAAAATCTGAAAGGCGTTGAGTTTTTTTTTTTTTTTTTTCTAATTTGAGTATCAGCAGCAATCTAAAGACTGATGTTTATACACAAGCAGTAATGTAATTTGCAGATAAACAAAATGTTGGAATAAGCAGCAGTGTTATACATAGCATTATTTATTGTCTTCTTATTTACGTATCTCGTATTTTGTTAGATTATGTTAGGTAATTTGCATATGGTATTGCACACGAGTGCTATTTTTCTAAAGCATGGGATGCCATTAGTGGAAGACTTTCTAAGGGAATAGCTCATATTCATGCTAAACATGGGGAAAACCAACCTTTTGGCTCATTCTCCTGTGTTCAAACCAGGCCAGACTGCCAGTATTTAGTGGTCTGGTGAATACGTGGCTACTGGTGGGGGTTCTTACTTATCATAGCTCATATGGAGATAGAGAGAAGCTGCAAAGAACAACAATGTATTTGATGCCATTTTAAATGTAATTCGAAGCAATACCTGCTGGAAATAAAATTAGATTTAATCACCACAATCTACCAATAGATTGTTTATGATATAATGATGGGTACCACTTAAGCAGTAAGCTCTGATTTTAATATTAGTGATATTCAATACTGTTATTTAATTATGATCTCAGAATTGGCAAATACAAAAAAGCACTCAAAAGCTCTCCAAATATGGCAGAGTGATCATTAATATAATATATGATCCAAATATGATCATTTTCTAGAGATAGTCATCTTAGGAAAGTGATCACTGTGAAAGGTTTAACTATATATATACAGTCAAAAGTCTTTAATTCAGACACCCATAATCCGGACCTCAAAAGCTACAAACTTTCTGCGCATGCGTCGCATTCACGCATGCGCACAGGCGTTTACGAGAGCGCATAACACCTTTACGGCTGCTAATATGTTTGTGCGCATGTGCGTTTAATGTGTAATGGAGGTATAAGCTGAGCTAAAATTATCTAATTCAGTTAATGTTGCAGACTGCATTGTTCCTTAATCTTCGAATTGGATCCGGCTTATTATTTTTTGCAGACTGTTAGAGCAATTTCATAAAAGTAAGCTTGAACTTTCGATTATGTCAAATAGAATTTCCGATATATATTTACTAATGTGTAATTTGTACCTACAAAGCGAAAGTATGTTTTGAAATCCGAAATGTGTTTATCAATTTCACCCCGAGGATTGGAAGTTGATCTGTCAGCACTATCCTTATCTTCAGGGCAGATGTTTTTATTTTATTTGGCTTATAATTCCTTACTAAGTGTAGTAATTTATCTCGATGTACTCCGTCTTTGATATGATTTAAATCAAGTTCCTCGTGATTATAATTTGCTTCCGATAGTGAAGAAAGTGACCCAAAGGTTATTGAAAACGAAAACATTTCGATTGACAAGTTAGTCGGTATTCTCGGCACAGCAATTACGGGACTTAGTAACTGAACAGCGGAACTTTGTAACTGAACAAGAAATTATGTCTGTTTATAGAATTAAAGAGAAAGTATTATCACATAAAACGAAGCCACTTAACAACTTACATTGAAAGAAATGTTTAATAAAGTAAACAAATAAATATTAAGCTTTTTTTTTTTTGTAAATTTTGATACCCTTTAGGTTCTTTATTTCATAAATTATGGTTTCATATTTTTAATTTTAGAATTTCTGCATGCCATCTTACCAGATTTAAACTGATGATCTATAATCCGGAAAAATCGATAATCCGGAATCGCCGAAGTCCTGACAAGTCCGGATTAACGACTTTTGACTGTATATAGAGTAGTAAATTTAAAAGTAGTCCTTACATTTACATAAATTCCATATTGTTTTCAGTGTATGTGTTAAAATAGATCCTCTTTTGAATTGAGCACCTTATATTATAAACAACTTTTTTTGTCTGCATAAAAACACATTTAAAATATATGCTATTACATTAATAGTTTACATACGATCAACTGTGGGAATGTAAATTTTATGTGGTCTATTTTAAAAGATATTTGCTAGTTTTGCTTTGAGCATTTTGTCTGTTGAAATAAATATCATTAGACATATAACTAGTTAAAGATATAAACTAAATAAATAAATAATTATTGGAAGATAGATGATTGAAATGTGGGTAATGTTCATGTGACTGTTTAATGTTAATAAAATCTAATATTCCATAGTTTTTATCCGCTAATAAATTCGTCATTTTTTGAAGATTGGAGTTTGTTTCAAGTATTAGTGACATGTTATCAACATTTCATTTAATATAATCAATGTTATAGTATAAATATTTTAAATTGAAGTAAAGTCACCAGATAAGTTCAAAATTGATAAAATTGCCAAATGACAGAAATGTGTCATAAAAGTTAAATCAACATATTTTAAACTAAATTATTGTAGTAAATAATCAGCTTAGCGGAGTTAAACTGTTATTTTATGTATATGCAATTATATTTGTTTTATTAGGTATTTTGCATCATCAATTATTCAAAGAAGTTTTTCGATAACTTCCAATAATTTTTGGAGTTCCATTCATTAATTAATACATCTGTGTTATTAGTATCAAACCGTAATGCATAATGTAATATTTTTTATAGTTAAGCAATAAAAAAGAAATGAATGGTCATAAATTAATTTTTATTTATTTATACTTATAAAGTGAACATCTGACTATTGTTTCATCTGACTGATTCATAATTTGTGTCACTTTTGGATTTGAAACACAGTTAAATGCTGCTGCATTGATAATACTCTCCTTGATTCAGGATTCATGGGTCATGCCCCATACATATATGAAATTGTAACAAGCTCTTCGCTGAAAGATGAAGATGATGATCAGTTGTTTTATACTAAAGTTTATCTTGATGAAGATCTTAGGGTAAATATAATTTCATATAAGTTATTTGATCTTTCAAAAATTCAGGAACCAGGGATAAAGAGAATAAATATTGAATGTGTATGATGGTCAATTAATAATTAGTATGTTTTAGTATACAGTGAATTCTTGCAAAATGTGGGAGCTACGTCATAAACACATTGCATCTACTTCAGAATCACATTCTATAAAGTAAATTTTCTATTGGAAAAATGTGTTTGGTTAAATTCAGAATTAGGAAGTATGTGCAATTTAAACAAATGTAAATATTTTTGCAATTAAAAGAAAAAAAAATGAAACAAATGTTAATTGAAAAGATTTTTATTATTGCTTTATAAGTATGTGATAAAATTACTTTTTCTTTAAAGCTGCTAATTTTTGCTTCGATTAACGACTAATGCAACTCATAAAAAGTTTTGTGGTAAGAAGCTTAGAATTTTTCAATGCCTTTCATAAAGAGTTTTATGTATTCTTTATTTATTATATTTATTATTGTTATTCTTTATCTCCACTGTAAAATCAGATAGTTTTTGTGTCTTTCTTTTAACACTTAGTTTAACTTAATTAATAGTTAGTAAATTAAAGGCACTTTATCTTCTTGCTTCTCACTGCTTTCAGTTTTTGCTGATGTAATGTAATTTTTACTATTTCTTTAGTTTTGTAAACAGTCAATGTAAATCCATTATAAATGCTAATAACTTCTAGTTAGAGCTGATGCCAGGGAGTATTCAGTGTCGATGAATGAATTTTGAACCACATATAAATGAAATTCTAGCATTGGGCAAAATTAAATAGAAGCAACATAACCCATATATGCAAATCACATTCTGAAAATTTGCCTTTGGCAAGGGTTTACTGTAATTTATTTCAGAAGGATTTTGTTAATCTTTTCTGAAAAATGCCAGTTTTATGCATATGCATTGTAAATTAATAAAGCAAAAATTCCCATTTTGAGCTTGGTTTCTGCTTGGTTCATGCAGCTCAAATATTAAATTCAGTATTGTAGATTAAATTTACTGACTTAAAATTGCATTATCATATATATTTCCTTCAAATTGTTTTCACGCACAGCTTTGAAATTGAAGTAAATTTATCATCAGTTTAAGCAAATCCATCTTAAAGATTTAAAGTTTCAGGTGATGAAGCACTAGTTGAGTTATCTTCAGAATCTTTAGTATGCTACATAGTTTAAAGTGTGTGAATGAAACTTCATTGTTTGGTAATTAATATATTATCTTGTTGACTGTGAAACTGTGTCATTTTTTCTTGCATTTTAGAAAAGTAAGTTTGTGGGTTGTAGAATCGCATTTGTGACTGCTTTGCAGTTTATTTACATCTGACCAAGATAATTAACATTCGTTGAATGGAAGATAGAGCAGCTGCATGTGCCTGTCGAAACAGTAATACAGTAGACTCCCGATTATCCGCGGAGCGAATTATCTGCGCCTTCCGCACAAAGTTTTTTTTTTTTTTTTTTTTTTTTTTTGTGTAAAGCAAAGAAAAAAAGTGTTCACAAAGCTGAGTGAAACGTTCAATTTGCTAACATCGTGCTTATTTATGGCCAAAATATCCCAGGCCTTCTCGGAACCTTCCCCTCTGATGAGTAAGTGATTTTTTACTCACCCTTGCAGTGCCTGCTCCACAGCCCTCTCTCGTCTTATTGACACGTCCACGTCCTCCCACTCGCCATTGTTAGTTTAAGCCTGATAGTGTATGCGAACCAGTCGGAGTTAATTTCTTATCTTTTATTGTGTTCAGTGCTTGTGCTTTTTGGTTGTTTTTTTTCATTACTGATGTAAAATGTCAGGAAAATGAAAGAAGGTTGTGTTGATGATTGCGCAAAAACTAGAATTAATTTCCAAAGTAGCAAACGGCGCTACAAGGCAGCAGATGGAATTGGATTATGGAATATCGGAAACAACAGTGCGTGACATTCTAAAGCAAAAAGACAAACTGGTGAACTTTGCATCTATGTCAGACAGTGCTTCCGCACTGAAACTGTGAAAAACTATGAAGGGTTCTACCTTTGATGAGCTAGACACGGCATTGACAGAGTGGTTAGCTCAAGTTCGAAAAGAGGGTACTCCTGTAAATAGTCCTATCATTGTGGCGAAAGCAAAAACCTTTTCTGAGTTGTTAGGCCTGAAAGAAAATTTTGTTGCGTCTTCTGGCTGGCTGACTCGTTTTAAGCAGCGACATGGAATTCGAGAAATTGGACTTCATGGGGAGAAACTTAGTGGTGACCACCAACAAGCAACCTATGATTTTCACCATGAATTTGAAGAATTTGTTTTAAAAGAAGAGCTATCTTTTGAACAAATTTACAATACCGACGAATTGGGACTTTTGTGGAAATGTCTTTCCACTTACACTTTAGCAAAGTGAAAGTAAAGCGGCGGGTCATAAAAGCAGCAAGGAAAGAATCACTATCATGTCTTGCAGTAACGCTACCAGTGGACATAAACTTAGACTTCTTGTCACTAGAAAGTTTAAAAAAATTAAAAATTAAAAAAAAAAAAAAAAAAAAAAAAAAAAAAAAACGAGATCTTTTCAAAGGCCCATTAGAAAATTTGCCCATTGATTACTTTAACCAAAAAAAAAAAAAAAAAAAAAAAAAAAAAAAAGGGATGGATAAACCGAAACATTTTTCAAAAATGGTTCGAAAACATTTTTGTTCTTCAAGTGCATAAACATCTTAAATCGAAAAACCTGCTTGAAAAAGCTGTGTTATTGATCGAAAACGCATCTTCTCACCCAGCAATATGCATGCTAAAGTTTTCTGATGGACAAATTTTTGCAGTTTCTCCCTCCAATTGTTACTGCACTAATCCAACCCATGGACCAAGGAGTCATTGCAACAATGAAGAGAACGTACCGAACCAAGCTGCTAATGACCAAAATTGAAGAAGGTTATGATCTGAAAGAGTTTTGGAAACACTACACAAACTTGGCAGCATCTACGATATTGCATCTGCATGGGACTCAGTGAAACTGTCAACCCTCATAAAGTCATGGAGAAAACTCATGCCTAATGTTGAAGCCAACAACAACCTAACCCTTTTGAGTTGTGAAGAAGAGAATGAAGATGTAGACACACCCACAGCAACTCTTGCCGATATGGTAAAAACAGTTCCGGGTGGTGAGAACGTTGATGCTGAAAACATTAACGAGTTGTTGGAGTGTGACGTCAGCGAACCTGGCTTCGAGTGCTTGACAGATGATGAAATTGTGAAGAAAGCAAGAGGAGAGACCGAGAATGAAGGACAGCGAAGTGAAGGCGAAGAAGAGCCCACTGTGCAGATGCGGAAGACTCACAAAGGGGCTTTGTAATAAGTCGACGGACTGCTTAGCTATTTGGAAGAACAAGATGACTTGGAGTTGGCTGAGAAACTTATGCTACGAAAAATGCAATCTCGGATCAAGAGAAAATGCTTCCAAAGCAAAAAGCATTCACAAATGACTGATTTCTTCAAAAATGTGTAGTTTTACAGTTATGCTTTTGTAATTACATAATACATTACAGTATTAAAACAGTACATACGTATTAATTTTTCTGTGTATCCTTGATGCCTCTTGTAAGTATGCAAAGCACTTTTCTGTTCTATAAACATTTCCTGCTGTTTATTTTACGTTTTATTGTATATAAGACGATTTTTCAAAGTTGGAATGACTGTTTTCTCTTTTGCTATACCCGTTTTTAGCTTTTTTTTTTTTGGATTATCCATGATTTTTGTTGTCCGCGGCGGCCGTGCCACCCAATTCCGCGGATAATCGGGACATGTACTGTACATTGGAACAATCATCTGTGGGAGGTTTGTACTCATAGTGTTCTAATCAGATCTTCTAGTAAAATAGGAGGGCCAAACAAAATCGTGGAAACTGTCGAAATCCTTTATATGAAGTGCAAACACTAATCGGTTCATATACTTCTGCAGCTGTGGCTGTTTGGTGAATTATGCAGAGAGACTCATGAATATTTTATTGCAAAAGTTGCAGGTAAAATTGAATTTTAATGTAATATTTGCATGTTTAGAATTTTGCAGGAACCATTGGTGGAATTTTGAGCGGGATCTGTGCCAACATTCATAGATCGGCGGTAACCAACTTTCACTGTCACTGGGATAATATGTAACACATTAACTTTCAACATTTGTCAAAGAATAGATTAACCCATTAACCGCCAAAACTAAAAGGAATATTTCTTTTCTCATGAAAATAATAACAAATATTAAATTAAGCATTTATAACATAAATTTACATTGAAAATAAAAAAATGCTCTTACCTGTGGAAAAAGTGAGTGTTGCGTTCGCGCAACGTCAGCGGAATAAGACTACAGATGTTTAGTGAGTAGGATTGTAGTCGTGTGATGTTTCTTTTGAGTGGAGCACAGGATTACTTTTTAGCTTATGTATATTATAAATCTACAAATCACTTTACTTGTAATTAATTTAATATTAAAATATACATTGTATTTCTTTTACAAATACAGATTATTTCATTTGAAAGATTCAAGCATGAAAAGCTTGATTACAATTATGATGTAAAGCTACATTACATACTTTGCATCTATAAACAGTCTGGCTATGGTACTCTTTACAACAAAGTCTTTTGTAATCAACGAACTTTACGATAAAATGTCTACCATCTCCATGCAATAGTTTTTGAATGCTGAATTTACTAGGTCTTTCTGTTGCTGATCTATTTCTGCATCTGAAATCTAAAAAAGACTTTATATTTCTAGTAGTAAGTAAAAAGTGGTGATATTTAGTAAGTTTAGATACGGTCTCACCTCATATAATTTATCAGTATTGTCAATTTGACGACTTCAAATGCAAATTCTGCTTCATATTCGTGTACTGCAAACATGATATCAATTCTTGTACAACAGGAACAGAAATGTCCTTATCAAAAAATACATTTTTCTTGAGGTAAATAATGATATCCTGTAAGCAATAATATTCCAGTAAATCTTTTTATATAGGCTTTGCAATAAATTCTGGGCTTAATTTATTTATTTATTTATTTTTGAGCCTTTATATTTGTCTCTTCAACGAGAAGAGAGTAAATATCTAAACAAAAAAAAAAAAAAAAAATCGAAAATCTGTGCACTAGTTTTACCTTGTGTTTTGTCTTTTATAATTTCTCTTCTATCTCTTTCTTCATGTTCTTCCTGAGACATAACTAACAGTTCCTTTTTTATCCACTTCAGGATTTCAGTCTTCTGCTTTTTAAACCTTTTAGTATGACTTTAACGGCTTTTAGAAGGCTGAAACTTACTTCTTACGTGAATTTCAACTTCCCCAGCAGTATCATTTGGTAAAATATCATTATTATTATTTAAAATATTGCTATTCCTTTCTTCTTCATCACTAGCCTCTGCAATTTCTGGGGGAACAACAACAATATCAGTTTCATTCTGGTCATTATTAACATTATCATCATCTGTTTCTTCATCAAAAAATCTTTGAAGGGCTTCTTGTAATGTAAGATACCTCGTTCTAGACATTTTTAAACAACCAGAACATGAATCAGAACATCCAAAGGAATGAGTGAAAAAGAAGATTGACTACTTGTTTCCTGCTGATGTTGCCTCAACGCAACACCTGTTTTCTCTCCCTTCCCAACACAAATATAAACATCTGACTGATGTAATGTTCTGATAAATGGTGACCTTGACTAAAAATAGATCACTCATTAAGACTGTGATTCTTTAAATATTTTCAGCAAAAATACCCAGTCAAAAATTTTGCTTAAATTTTGCTGAAAGTATGAGGTTAATTATTATAAACAAAATGATTGTTGAAGGCAAATATTTTTTTACAGAAATAATCTTCATAATATTCCCTACACAAAATCATCTGCTGGTATAAAATATCTTAGGTAGTTATATTTATATACGCATTTATGACCGTTGCATCAACACAACACCAGCGCTAATGGGTTAAGCTTGTAAATATGAGATACCTGGTATTTATTGCTAATATTTTAAGTGAATGTTTCAGTAATAACAAATAATTCAGTTAAAAACATTAACAAATAAAAATTCATTTTCTGTCATAGTTTGTGTTAGGTATTTGAATGATAATTTTGAACTTTGCAGAAAAAGTGGGGTATGAAGTTAGATCATAAAGCTGAAATCTTCCAAAACTTAAATGGTGCTGTTGGTAAGACTTTTTTCAATGCTTTTTAAACACTGTGTGTGTGTGTGTGTTTGTTTTTTTTTTTTTTTAAAACTTCCCAGTTCTCTAATAAAATTTTATTTTACAGGTGCTTGATTATTAATTAACTTTTCTGTATCTTTTTTAACAGGAGATGTTGAACTGCGATTCTCAGATACTGATAGTTATTTACACAATACTGCCTATGGTACAAATCCTCTTGTAGTTCATGGCAATGGAGCTAGCAAAGTATGTATACTTCAGTACTCTTTAGACCATTGTTACTACATTGAACATTACTGGATGATCAGTTATCACAGTTTTTATAAATTAATTTTATATCAACAGGTTGCATTAAATTCCTTAGGAAACTATTTGGCAAAATCGTGGACACCAAAGCAAGGCTGTTTTAGTTGTTATGAAGATACCATTTCACTAGAAAAGTTTAAGGTTTGTGTATTTGAGAAGATATCTTTCTTTTAACTCGGCACTCATTGCATTTTAGTAATTTTGCTTATTCTCGTTAATATTATATTTTTTACTGGACTACTTTAAATGCTCTTATAATGTAGGATTTCAAATACAGCAATGATTTAAATACTTTAATATTTATTTTCCTTGATTTAAAATTTATTTTGTTTTAAATATCTGTAAATAACATGCTAGAGGTAACCAATTAAATACAAGTTTATTTTAATTGTTTTTCATTTCTTTTTATTTCAGTTGTTGATTAATATTCTATTTTTGTTTCAGTTTATTCTACATGTTGCATAATATTTTCATATTCCTTCTGTGAAATTAACTGTGTATTAAAAGTCTATACAGTCAAAAGTCGTTAATTCGGACACCAATAATCCGGAATGATCTATAATCCGGACCTCAAAGCTACAAACTTTCTGCGCATGCGTCGCGTTAACGCATGCGCGTAAGACCTTTACCGCTGCCAATTTGAGTGTGTGCGTGCGCAAAATACGTTTACAAATGCGCATTTAATGTATAACGGACGGGATAAGCTAAGCTAAAATTATCTAATTATCTATTTCAGTTAATGTTGCAGATTGTGTTGTTCCTTAATCTTCGAATTGGATCCGGATTATTATTTTTTGCAGACCGTTAGAGCAATTTTATAAAAGTAAGCTTGAACTTTCGATTATGTCAAATAGAATTCCCGATATATATTTACTAATATGTAAAGAATATACAAAGCGAAAGTATCTTTCGGAGTCCATTAAACAAAAAGTGGAATTGCTGCAAAAAATGGATAAAGGCATATTTTTTGTTTATCTAAACTTTGTTTATCTTTAACGCGGGGGCGGCATGCAATGAATTGGAAGTTGATTTGTCAGCACTATCCTTATCTTAAGGGCAGATGTTTTTATTTTATTTGGCTTATAATTGCTTACTCAATGTAGTATTTCATCTCGATGTACTCCGTCTTTGATATGATTTAAATCAAATGCCTCGTCATTATAATTCGCTTCCGATAGCGAAGAAAGTGACATATAGGTTATTGAAAACGAAAAAATTTTGATTGACAAATTAGTCGGTATTCTCGACACAGCAATTATAGAACTTGAACAGCAGAACTTTGTAACTGAACAAGAAATTATGTCTGTTTATAGAATTAAAGAGAATGTATTATCACATAAAAAATGAAGCAACTGAAACAACTTACATTGAAAGAAATGTTTAATAAAGTAAACAAATAAATATTAAGCTTTTTTTTTTGTAAATTTTGATACCCTTTAGATCATAATTGTTCTTTATTTCGTAAATTACGGTTTCATATTTTTAATTTTATAATTTCTGCATGCCATTTTACAAGATTTAAACTGATGATGTATAATCCGGAAAAATCGATAATCCGGAATCGCCAAAGTCGAGTCCGGATTAGCGACTTTTGACTGTACTTAAAGAAGTGGTTGCAGTACTAGTCAATTTCAATATTTTATTCTCACTGACAAATTTTTTACGCCAACATACATAAAGTAGTGCAATAGTTCACTTGTTTTTGAAGAATATTTACATTTTTAAGATGTTGTGGAATGAAAGCAGCAACAACCATCTAGTTAGGGAGAGAAGCTGATAACTAGTGCAGTGTATCTAAGATCAGATTCCAGTTCAGAATGATTTGGTTTTGGTTTAATCCCTCTTGGTGTTGTTACAAATTCTGTTTTTCCAAATTAGAAATTACTAATTGGCTGAAGTGTCATGTTAAGTCTGCTCTATTACCTGTATGTAAGACTCATTTGACAGCAATTGGTTTTAAAATGAGACAGTTTAGAGAAGTTTATTATCAGCAATAACTATTATTAAGACAGAAAGGGAAATTACTGAAATTAAAGTGGGGAGTTAAGGGATTATTACAAATTAAAGTTATAATTGTGATTTATATATTTTTACCCTGCATTTATGTATGTATATTAAAAAAGAAATTGTTTTCCTTATGTTTGCTTGTTATACTAGAAATCTTAGGTGTTTTAAGTGAAGTAGTGCATATTTTAAAGGTAAAAGGATTAATTGTTTGGTTGAATTCTGTAGTGACATATTTTAAATGATAATTTTTGATGACCTATATTGAAAGTAAGCTTTTTTGTATGTACGTGATTCAATTTATATTAAACATATGTATATCCATGCAAAGAGCCTCATTTGTGTAAATAATTTCTGAGATTAATGTGATTAAAAAAGAAAAAAAGTTTGATTAAAATTTCAGTCTCTGTATTTAAAATTTTTAAAACTATAAATTCCTAAATACATTGTTTGAATAATTCAGGTATAAAATACTAATGAGATGAAATATGAAACTCATTCCTTTCATCTGGCAAAATTTTGCTAAATTTGCCAGATGAAATGTAGTGAATTAATCAGTGTAGTGAATGTAGAAGTGAATATTTTTATATCAAATACTACAGCTGATTTTAAGCAGTTTAAATTATTTATTTATTGGCTTGGGTAATTATTCAAAAAATTGTACTAGGGATCATAAATTTTGCCTTTTCAGTTTAGATTCTTAAAAATGAACTTGCTAAATTTTTTACTTTTATTTTGTTAAAAAATATTTTGTCTTTTAGCATTTGCTCTAGAGTAATTTTTGAAAAAAAAAAAAAAAAAAAATCCTAATCTGTGTAATGAATTTATAAGAAAATGACATGATTATTTTTCTGTTATATTAGCTGAGAAAGTGTTTTACTCACGCTGACACACACATCGTATCTCCCCAGGTGATGAGAGTGTTTCTAAAGGAATATCTTATTATTCTATTTTTTTATCTTTTTCCTTTTTACTTCCTTGTACGAAGTAAAAAGGGAGTATTGTAATCGCGAAAAGTTTCAAGCAGCATGTTTCAATGAAAAGATCTATTGACTGCTTTCGAATGCAATTTAACGATGTATTTGCGTGATATCTGTACGTAAGGACAGAATAAAAGACTCTTTTCCTCCAAAAAAATTATAAAACAGCTTTAAAATGAATTCTGAAGAGAATTTTTCATGGCGTCTGTACAAACGTACGTATCTGGCATAACTCAAAAACGAGTAGCCTCAGAATGTTGAAATTTTGTATATAGGACTACTATAACATGTAGATGTGCACCTCGTATTTTGGTTGCAATCGACCGCACCAAACGTATATAAATATATTTATATATGTATCCACTCTGTTACCCGGCTCAGTGATCTCAGTTTCTTTACTCTTATATGTTTGGTAAATTGTGCTTTTTTTACATTTTTATTGCTTTAAAAATGATTGAATTATGTTGTTTTTATCTTCCGGTTAAGGTTTTTATGCCTTTAGTTTTTAAATGCCTTGCGCCTGCATACAATATTTTAGGAGTTATCAACAATTTTTAAAAGTTGTTTAAGTGTAGCCCCTAAGCCTAATGAATTTTTTTATGGCGGACATGTTGAATGTTTACATTTGAAACTTGGCAAGACTAGCGGATTTGTTGCCAATCTAGAGAAAGTTAGCTTCACAACAATAAAGATAATGCCTTCATTTATTATTGCCAATTGAATCATGCTTAATCCTTTCTGGAATTTTTTCGAGGAAATAAGCGTTTAAGATTTACTTCGTAATTTTTAATATAAATATTTTGAGTTTTTATGTATTTTTGCCTTCTCACGAAGTGAGAACTGAATTAATTGAATAAGAAATACTCAATTGCCTGTGAAAAACTGTTTCTTTTTTGTTTTATTTGCTTAATTTCTTTTATACATCATTCTAGCTTTATTATTTATTATAGTATTTGAATAGAACATGTAGCAACGATTAGATAATTCTATTCTTTAAATGATATAAATTTTGTGCATTATGAATTATAATATGAATGAAATATAATACTGTTAAGTGAATCTAGCGCCAGAATGTCGCTATGGTAAACAAATAGAGTGAATTTTAAAGAATGCATTTATTCTGTTGTGGTTTATGCGCTGTCAGCTAAGTAGATTTAATTCAATCCAATAAGTTTAAATGAAATGCAAGCAAAAATGCGTATAATTTAATATTCGGTACAAGGAAGTCATGTGGTGTACTCATCAGGTTTTTTATTTTTAAAATTTATTATTTGCATAAGTTTTCATGTTCATAAAAATTAACAGACTGACCATTTACACATTTTGTCCCTCAAAATTTTATTTATAATTTTTGTTTTTTGAGAAGGTTTAAAATTTAAAAAACTTTTTCATTGATAAGCATATATATTTGTAAATAACAGACTCCATTAAAATTAATTGTTATAATATACTCTTTTGTTTAAAACTCGTTAAAATAGGCAATATTTTCCTTTTCTTACAATATTTTTTTTATTTGGTTTTATTAGTTATCAGTTTATTTGTGCAGATGATTGCTAAACAAAATGAAGAAATATTTAAAAATTCTCATTTTTTAAGTAAAGAAATATTTAGTTTCATTTAGTTTTCAGCAGAAAGTATTCATATTACCTAATATTGTGCTAGTAATTATATTATTTAGAATGCCAGCAATTCTGAAACAGAGTTAAACTTAATTCATTCTTATTTTTAATTATATGTATTAGGAAAATAATTTTCACTTTCTGTTAACTTTAGGTGAAACAGAAGCCTCATGTCATTCTTGCAATTTTCATAGAACATCCAACTCCATTTATTACAGAGTTTTTTGAACGAATTTTATTACTTGATTATCCAAAGGAAAGGATGGATCTTTTTGTGCATTGTGGAGTAAGTTGATTTTCCAGATTTTTGTGTTTTGCTCTTTTTATTTTATGTTTGATCTTATCGTAAATACTTCATAGCAGATTTTTCATAAATGTCATAATTGATTTATACTTTATAAATTTTAGAAAACCTCATGTTTTGAATGAAAATATTGAAAAATGATGTTTTTATAAAGAAATGAAAGAAATCTTTAGAATTTTGGAGAGCTTTTGGGTGCTTTGCTACATAAACATACTTTAAAACCATGTTGTTTTGTGCTGATAGAAATCTGGGCCAATTAACTAAGGTTTCAGAAACATCTTAAACTATTGTTTTAACTGTATTTGGAGTTTTATGTTTTTCTGTATCTTTCAATTTTTACTTCCTTGTACAAAGTAAAAAGGAAGTGTTGTAATCGCGAAAAGTTTCAGGCATCATATTTCAAATGAAAATATTGAAAAATGATGTTTTTATAAAGAAATGAAAGAAATCTTTAGAATTTTGGAGAGCTTTTGTGTGCTTTGTTACATAAACATACTTTAAAACCATGTTGTTTTGTGCTGATAGTAATCTGGGCCAAATAACTAAGATTTCAGAAACATCTTAAACTATTGTTTTAACTGTATTTGGAGTTTTATGTTTTTCTGTATCTTTCAATTTTTACTTCCTTGTACAAAGTAAAAAGGAGTGTTGCAATCGCAAAGTTCAGGCTGATTTTCAACAAAATCCTTTTCTCACTATCGAATGCAATTTCGATGTTTTTTGTGTGCATCTGTACAAGGAGAATAAAGACTTCGCCCTTCCCCCAAAAATTTAAAACGAGAATAATTTTAAAGAATTTTTTGCTCTGGCATGTCCCTGCTCAAAAAAAAAAAAAAAATGGGACAGTCCTATATCTCCCGATCTACTGGGCCGATTGACAAAATTCAAATTGCGTTCTTCATGTCTCGAAAGCGCGACTTAGGATATATATTAGATTTATATATAGCACTATTCTAACATAGGTATTTTGACACAAAATCGGACTTTATCTGAAATAACATACCAATTTTTTTCATATTTCGATTCTACAACTCAAATTACGCCTAAATATGAAATTTTGTAAATTTGGAGCGAAATTTACGGAGAAATTCACAAATTTATGTTGGCACTTTTTTGTTTTTCAGTTTGCGCCAAGAATAGTTCACTTGGCGAACTTCTTAATATATGGCAACCTAGTTTCCTTTCCCGTGAGAGGAAAAAAAGTCACCATCGTTCCTTTTTTCCAAATAATATTCTTTATATTATATTTTTAATTATAACTTATTATTTTAAGTATTTTTTTTTTCTTTTTCGAATTTCATTTTAATTGTTTAAGTTGCATGGTTTTTTTTTTCGAATAACTGTTTTAAAAATTTCTATTTACCTATTCGAACTGCGTAAATAAAGGTGCAGCGTTTATTTTTTTTTTCAAATAGTTTTCTTTATATATATTTTTGTCATAGTTATTATTTTAGGTAATTTTTAAATTCTTATACTTTTATTTTAATTGTTTGTGTTGCATTGTCTCTTCAGATAATTGTTTTAAAATTTTCTATTTATTCCTTCGAACTGAGCATTTTAAATAAATTTTCCAGAATTTGATTTTATTTATTTGAATTGCGTTTCTTTCGGAGGAATACTTTGTAACCCAGACTACGATGCGTTTGAAAACTGCATATATTAAAAGAGAAAATACAGTAAAGCACAGTTAACACGCCTTTCAATGTTCCGTTCAGAAAAGATATATATAAATAAGAGAGATGTATAACCGACATTTTAACTTAGGATGACTTGCATACACTGCTTTAAACAGTTTTATCATTGTGCCCATTGCTTTACACAATTTTATCCTACATTTGGTTTCTTAAATGTTATTCATATTTTAGTCAAATATTTTATTTTTGAAATCGTAAGAATCAAATATCATAAGATTAAAAAGTTTTAAATTAAAAAAAAATACAAATACTAAATTTTACCCCAAAATTTATTTTTTTCTTCTCTTTTTCTTCAGGCATTCTACTTTATTCTTGCTCTTTTTCTTTAGGCATTTCGCAAGTATATTAAAAAGCATCCAACTTTTCGAAATATCTTGATATTTCTGACAATCATTTTAAATAAAGTTATCGCCTTCCATTTCATAAAGGCCCACAAACGGCCGAGCGGTAAAGTCGCTGAACACTGGTAGTTCACTCCGGGGTTCGAATCCCGGTAAACGGGCTGGTTGCATGGGCGTTTTCGTGGATTTTCTCATGTGTACCGTGTATGCCAGCTGGTTTCCTTAGAAAGTTCTTCACGAAGGCATCCTTCCTTTTAGGCAGATAACCCTGCTTTGACGTAACTTAATAATCCAATTCAATCCATTTCATCAATATTTGGTCAGAGCCTTTATCAGTCTTTAGAGGCTAAACATTTTGAAGGTATGAGATGAAAGAGGTTTCATCAAGAGGTTTTGGTTTATTTAATTATGACAAAGCACACTAGGGCTATCTGCCTAAGGGGAGGGATGCCTTCGTGGAGGACTTTCTAAGGAAAACTGGCTCGCATACACGTTACACATGGGGAAAACCACGAAAACGCCCATGCAGCCAGCCCGTTCGCGGGATTCGAACCTCGGACCGAACTACCAGTGTTCAGCGACTTTACCGCTCGGCCGCTGTTTCATCAGGAGGGGAAAAAAAAACGCCTTTAGGTGACATCCACATACATCACTGGATAAACTCCTGAATCTTCAAATAATTCGACTGAGAAAATCATGGGATTCTCCATTTATGATACGATATGATGTTCTATAACGTAATTTAAATTTATACAACCATATAGTCTAAAACCAGTCGCTCTTCACTTTAATCTGCAATGATATCGTTTTTTTTCTTTTCTGTTAACACAAGCTCAATTGATGGTATTTGCTGATGTACACGTCCAAGTGTTTTCTCTTTGAACACCTAAATTCTTTGAAGTATCCTGAAAGTATATTCAAAAGCGTCCAACTTTTTGAAACATCTTGGTATGTCTGACAGCCAAATTTCCCTGCAAATTTTTGCTTACTTTTCTCCCTAATTTTCTTCTTTCCTTCTACAGTTATTTTCAGTGCTCACACAAGAAAATTAAGATTTTTCGATTGCTAGACTTCCATAAATTTTGCATTCTTGTCAATTTTTTAAAATATCAATTACATGAATTGCGTTTCAGCTGAAGACAGCTTTTCATTTTCTAGTCATTTTAACTATAAATAAAGTTTAAAGCAAAGTCCAAAGGATAAATATTTTAATTAAAAGATTTTTGCTAAATGACAAAGAAATAAAACAGTCCAGCAGGGTTTATTCTGTACCACCGAGTAACCCGATTCTTATATCGGCTGAAACAATCTAAATCATATTAAAGATCATGTTTTTTTATACAATCTATAACGCGAGAGAAAAATTAGCTTCTTAAAACATTCTTTCTAAGAGGATTAATATAAAAGATTATATTTATATATATATTTTTAAAGCTGGGACTTGAACCAAACTGTCAAACTTTTAAAGTTTAATTTACATGGTGGTTATAATTAAAGTTCCAATTTGAAATGGTCATAAAAGGAAAACTACCGGACCAAATGTTATCAAACTTGGGAATCGTGTAAAGGAGGTTATGGGAATTTATTTTCCGCGGAAAAAAAAAAAAAGAGTTCAAAAACTCACCCCCAGGGGAAAAATGGCGATGTATACAATATTGTTAAATGAAATAAGACACGAAAACATCTGTTTAAAATGTGTTTAATATTTTCCGAAACGTGTTACAAAGCATGTTCAATGTAGCGTCCAGCATTTTCCGAAAGCAAGTTAAATCCTGTTACTGCATTCTCAACAGCAGCTCTTAGCATATCAGGAGGAATGTTACGGACATGTCAGTGTATCACATTTTTCATTTCTGCCAAATTGTTTAGATTATCACCATAAACAGTGCTTTTGAGATAACCCCATAGCCAAAAGTCACAGAGGTTGAGGTCTGGTGGGAAGAGGGGAAGTGTTGGCCTATAAGACGTTCATTCGTGAAATGTTGCCTAAGTAACTGTGCGACACACGTGAGGTGGGGCCCAGCCCTGCATAAAAATCGTAGTATCTAAAATGCCACGTTACTGCAGTTCATGTATCACGAAACATTTTAACATTGACTCTAAGTGAGCTGCAATCACAGTGGTCCAGCTGTCGACTGCTCTTCAGAGAAAAATGGTTCAGTTATAAAACTAGCTGTCATTCAACACTAAACGGTGTGGAATGACTGCTATGCAATCGAATGCAGTAGGAGAATGCAATGGAACTAGATAGATAACATGAGGAATTTCTTTGGCCCAAATCGATTAAAAGCGTTTTGAATCAGTATCTTCATGTTTTAGGTGCCGAATTCAGGCTTCAAAAATTACAAATTAGCGATCTGTAAGAAAACGATTTCCAGATTGTACGCACTTGTGCGAGTGATTTGCGATCTCACATTTTCTAATCGCTAATTCGTGGTTTTCACGGACGAATTTCTCACTTACACGGATGGCGCACTCGACTTTTATCGAATTTAACGCCTTTAAATGGTAATTTGCCTACTTCAAAGTTTCTTAAGGGTATACAACATATTAAACCCGTGTAACAAAAGGTTAAGTTAGATTCCGACCCATATTTCGTTTAACAATATTGCATACAGCGCCATTTCCCCCCTGGTGGTGAGGTTTCGAACTTTCTTTTTTTCGCGGAAAATAAATTCCCATGACCTCCTTTACACGATTACCAAGTTTGATAACATTTGATCCAGTAGTTTTCCTTTTATGACCGTTTCAAAGTGGAACTTTAATTATAACCACCCTGTATATTATTAAATTTTAATTTGAAGCTATGCGTTATATGTATACCATGCGTAAGATTTTCGCTTTTATGGAAAAAATAAAGAATCGAAGCAAATATACTTAGGATAATGGACCAAAACTGAAAAAATTTCCCCTCCCTCCGAAAATAAAATATTGAAACTTCGACCTTGAATTTATTGGATTATCGAAATATTTAATTTGATCTTCTAAGTCCTAGTTCCGACAACAATTCCGTCAAAAATTCCGAATTACTTAAGCTGAAGTAAAAGATTTAGTATATATTCACTGTATGTTAATAAAGTAATCAGAATAAGAGTGTAATAAAAATAGATTATAGAATTTACGCTGATGCAACTTTTGTCTGACTGCACAACATGTAATGGAAGAGAAGGCTTGTAGAGATCTGTTTTTGACATGCCTCTAAAAGTAGATGTCATACTCCTTTTGTCTCTTCAATGTCAAAAAACTTTCCTTTGAGAGGCAACTTTAGTTTTTGGGGAAAGAAAAAAATCACAAGAAGACAAATTTGAAGAACATGCAGGACACGATTGAGTACACATACTTATTTTCGGAACACAAGCGGTTCTCCGACTGGTTATTGAATAATGAAAAGATGCATTGTCATGCAATACAAAACATTTGGAATACGTTTTCTGACTGAAAACGTAAGATTAAAAGTCATCTGCTTAATTCACAGCCATTTACAAGTCAACTACTCGGGCAATTGCAGAATCGTTTTGATCCTGAGCTTGTAAGACAAACCTAATATCACTGGATTTAAACACTTCTTTAATCTTCCGAGAACGTTCCTTCTTTAGCTCATATTCCAAGAATATTAAGTGAATACAATTATTGCAAAAGAAATTGAATATTCATTTGCACTACGGCTTGGTAGTTTACTAACGAGTTAACAAAACTTAAATTCTGCTTTTTGTGTCTAAGAATACAACAATATTTTAAATATTTACAAATAAAATATTAAATTGGAGATTTAATTGGAGCCTCACCAGTTGCCTAGCATTTGAAGATTGTTAAATACTAATTGTTTGTTGCGAAGTCTAACCCAGGCTTGCATGGTTGGTTTTCGTAGTTTTCTAGGTTCTCTTTACAAAGGTTCTCTATGAAAGCATCTTAATCAAATAGCTCCCATGTTCTTTCTATGTTCAAATAACCAACTAACCTAGTTTAAGCGCGATTTCCAAGTGAAGTTACTAGCAAAACCCGAATACTCATTAAAAATCATGTAGCTTGCCAATCGGGAGTAACATGAAAGATACGGCGCCAATAATTGAATTGCTGTTACGGTACGCTGTTTTCTAAACTTAGATGGTCATTCCTTAATTAAATAGCCCACCAGCGGCCGAGCGGTAAAGACGCTGACACTGGTAGTTCGGTCCGAGGTTCGAATCCCGCGAACGGGCTGGCCGCATGGGCGTTTTCGTGGTTTTCCCCATGTGTAACGTGTATACGAGCCAGTTTACCTTAGAAAGTCCTCCACGAAGGCATCCCTCCCTTTAGGCAGATAGCCCTCGTGTGCTTTGCCATAATTAAATAATCCAATCCAATCCTTAATTAAATATAATTGATTTGTAACTTCTACTAGAACTGACGGTAAGAATTGAAGTGCAAATAAATAATATCGTGTGCAATCTTGATTAATATAAAATTTAAAATATTTGCATTCAGACAGAAAGTTTTTTTGAAATATTTGCAATTACTTTATAAGAAGGATTTATTAATAACCGTAATAATTACTTATTATATTACTGATGATTAGGATTCAGTTCTTGACAATTACATTCTAAATTAGAATTTTAAGGATATAATGAAAATACGCTACGCACAAAAATACATTTTAGGATAAAAATGAGTTGGTTTTTTATGTTTTAAAACTTCTTAAATTCATTTAATAAACATCGTATCCTCGTTGTTAATTGAATCCAGAATGTTGGGTGGTCGTTTATATAATTATTCTTACTTGTCCACAGAATCTGCTGACTTATCCAGCCATTAAGTAGCTGCAGATCATTTCTACATAACCATTGAACTTCCATTAATTCAGTCTCTAGAGGGTTGTATGTTTATATCATAATTTGACTTTTATAAAAATGATTATTCTAAATCTTATGTTTCTATAAAAATATACTGTGCTTTAAAAATGTGGATGATAGTATCAGCCGCTCTTTCAGCCACTTCAAAAGCAACAGTTTGTTTAGAAATAAATTATGCAGTTAATGTCATAAAATTCAAATAAACATCAAACGAAAATTCTCAGTTTTAGACAATTCGATTTAAACGAAGTAAAGTAGCAGACGATAAAACGCCGAAGGTAAAAATTTACTCTTTTTTTTTTTTAAAAAAAAGATAGAGAGAAATTTAAAAAAAATAGTTAAAAATTTGAATAATATCATCTATAATTTAAAAAAATAGCTTTTCATATAGTATTAATAAATATTTATTACGCATCATTGAGGGAAAAAATGTCATATAATTAATTCTCCGTAAAATTTTACTTGAAATTTAAGGTTAAAAATAGCTGTGGCAATTCACTGTAACAAAAATCCATAGACCACATTTGGCGTTATTATCGCTCAAAAAAAAGATGCCAAATTTCAAAACGCGAAAATATGTAAATTCGTGTATATCTTAGAAAATTTTGAATAAAAAAGTCTAATTTTTTGCAGATATGCTTAAAAATACACCTACTTTAAGATGATGGTAAAAATTTTATAGGTTATAATTCAAATTTTGTTTCGAAAAATTTATAAAAATTATTTAAAAATAGAAATTTAAAAAATAAAACACAAAAAACGGGTAAATTTTATTTGGAAAGAACCTAAATTTCGAAATGTGAGAGAAAAAATCAAAAAAGTTTAATAAAAAAGAGATATTAATAAATATTTGCCAAATTCAATTAACATTGAGGAGCTAAAATTTTGAGAGCTAATATTTTAAAAACTACTCGTACGATTTTTACAAAACTTGGTATTCTGGCATAATTTGAGACGTAGAATCGAAATATGGAAAAAAATTGGTATGTTATTTCAGAAAAAGTCCGATTTTGTGTCAAAATACCTATGTTAGAATAGTGCTATATATAAATCTAATATATATCCTAAGTCGCGCTTTCGAGACATGAAAAACGCAATTTGAATTTTGTCAATCGGCCCAGTAGAACGGGAGATATAGCACTGTCCCCCCCCCTTTTTTTTTTTTTTTTTTTTTGGAGCAGTGTTTGCATAACCGAAACGAGTTGCACAGAAATTGAATTTGTATATAGGATGCTATACATGTAGATAACCTGAATTTTGTTGCGCGCCAACCAAAAGATAATATAATATAATATATATATATACCACTCTGTTACTCAGCTCGGTGATCTCAGTTTCTTTATTCTTATATATTTGTAAATTGTGCATTTTTTGCTTTAAAATGATTGAATTATGTTGTTCTTATCTTCTGGTTAAGGTTTTTATGACTTTAGTAAATCTGCATGCAATATTTGTTGAATTATCAACAATTTGAAAGTTGTTTAAGTGCAGCTAAGCCTAATTATTTTTGCCATAGCGGCCATGTTTGTTTACATTTGAAACTGACAGAATAGTGGATTTGTTGCCAATCTAGAGAAATTAAGCTTTGCAGCAACGAAGATAACACCTTCCTTTATTATTGTAAATTAAATCATGCTTAATCCATTCTGGAGTTTATTCAAATAAATAAGTGTTTAAGATTTACTTCGTAATTTTTAATATAGATATTTTAAGTTTTTATGTATTTTAGCCTTATAGCGAAGTGAGGACTGAATTACTTGAATGAGAAATACTGAATCATCTGTGAAAAACTTTTTTTTGTTTAATTCTTTTATACATCGTTTTAGATTTATTATAATATTTGAATAGAACATGTAGCAACGATTAGATAATTCTTCAGTTAATATAAATTTTGTGCATTTTGAGTTATAAAATGAATGAAATGTAATGCTGTTGAGGGAACTTAGCGCCAGAGGGTCACTATGGTAAACAAAAATATAGTGAATTTTAAAGAGTGCATTTATTCTGATGTGGTTTATGTGCTATCGACAAAGAAGATTTAATTCAATCCAATAAGTTTAAATGAAATTCAAGAAAAAATGTGTATAATTTAATATTCCGTACGAGGATGTATAATTTAATATTCCGTACAAGGAAGCTCTGTGTACACATTAGATTTTTAATATAGATATTTTATGCATTTTTGCCTTGTTGCAAAGTGAGAACTGAATTAATTGAATGAGAAATATATATCTAATGAAATTCAAGGAAATAAATTTAAATGAAAGGCAGGGAAAAGTGCATATGATTTAATATTCTATACAAGGAAAGTCATGTGGTGTACAAATCAGATGGTTTTAATAAGTATCTGGATAAAACCGTTTTTATTATAGGCTGAATATCACAAAGATGAAACTGATGAATTTCTGTCTTTACACAAACATAAGTATAACAGTGTGACTTATCTGAAATTTGAAAGTGGATACAAAGAATGGCATGCACGGAATCTTGGCCTGTAAGTATAGTTTTTAGTAATTTATGATTATTGCTAATTTAGTCAAACAGTAAATGTTGCATAAATAATGTGCAAATAATAAGCATACATTTTTGGCTCTAGATATATTAATCATATTCTTCAGGAAACCAGTTTCTTAAAAAAATTTTGTTTCAAAAACTAAAACCACTAGATTCTAGCAATTGTTTCTGGATGAAGTAGATTAGTTATATAAGATATTTGAGAGATATAATCTGTGGGATGGGAGGAAGAATTATGTTACATATTTATCCAGCAGTCTTTGCATCATTTTTGTATTCTAGAAGGATAATGCAATCATTTCACTATGTTTGTATCATCCCACTAGTAGTATATCATGATTAGACTTAATAAATGCTCCATGTAAAGTAATATGAGATTATCATGTTGTATGGACATTTTAAAGTATTGAGTAATCCTGAAAGTTCTGGAATTTTTCAAATTGAAATAAATTTTTTATAATTTTGTTACTGCTGATAATGAGTGACTTGAGGCTGATGTTTAGATATGGTTTCTTTTGCTTACAGTGCATAATTCTAGCATGTGTTTTAGCATAATTTTTGTTTCAGTCTAGGACTAAGAATGAAAAACACAAAAATTCATTTTTGTCATATTATTCTATTCAGATTCTTAGATTATATAAGGACAAAGTATTTTTCCTGGTAACATAACTTGAAGGTACTTTGAGAATTTAATTGTGGAAATTTCAGTCCTGAAAATGATGCCTGCTGTGGATGATTATCCTTTGTAAACAAAGACCTATTAAATAACGCTATAACTGAAGATCCATGTTATATAATTCAGTTAAGTACAGCGAATGATTATTTGAAGAAAGCATGCAGCTACTAGAATGTGTAGGTGTCTCCTACTTTAACAGAAAATAATATCCTTGCATGAGTTTTTGTCATGGGATTGATTCTTTCCTAAATAGAAAGAAATGAAGTCCCTTTTTTGAAATGGCTCATTACTGAGATAAGGAATGGATGCTATACAATAATATTGCAAGATCATGGAGTACTCTAAAAGAACTTTCTCTAGTAACATCAAGAGGTGGACTGCATCCCCAAAAGATAATCCTTTCTATATGGTGGGACTCTGAAGGAATTGTATTCTACGAGGTGTTTGCAACTAAATTAGAAAATAAATTAGAAAAAATACTTTTCTCAGATGGTACTTTTTAAAGCAAAAATTGAAATAAAGTGCCTAGAACTGATGAATTGTCAAGGCATTGCCTTCCATCATGAAAATACGTGGCACTGCATTTTAATGAGTGTCAGACAGAGACTTGTTGAGTATGGCTGTTTTATGTTGCCTCTCATGTTTATTAGACCTTGCTACTTTGGATTTTTATGTCTTCAGGCCACTTCAAAGTTGTCTTCAGTACTTGGAGTTTTGATAACTTCTATAAAAATAAGCCTAATGACTTTTTAAGAAAGGAATTTTCCAGCTGTCAAAGAGAGATTAAAAAGTAATGGAACAAAATGGTTTTTATAATATTCAATGAAATTTAAACTGTTTCATTTGCATTTATTAAAAAAAAAAAAAAAAAAAAAAAAAGGCCACAGAACTTTCCAGCTGATCTAATAATTCAGCTAGCATAAAGCAAGATGATTTTTAAATATCAGATGAGTATTTTAACTCTTTTCATTTTTTGCTTGTAATCTGGATGCATGATAATCAATGATATAGATAAGTTTTTATGTTTTGCACTCTTTATTGTATTATGTAGATTATGATAAGTTTTTCAAGAAATTTTACTTCTTTTGTTCCATTTATTAATTAACAGTAATTAATAGTTGCTTTGTTAAACAGGGAAGAATGTACCAAAGTGGACTGTGATTATTATTTCTCTGTTGACACAAATGCACAACTGACAAATCCTGATACTTTACGTCTTTTAATAGAACAAAATAGGTGAGCAAGAGTTTTATTTTATTCCATTTTATGTTTTAATCAATCAATAGCAACTTTATCACTTCATGAAAACTGTATACAAGTATTACATGGTAAGTAAATTACAGGAATCCTGCACCGTCTCAAGTCTGTATAATTGTCTGCATTATCCGCACTTCAAAGTCACAGAACCTGCTGTTATATTGTTAAGTAGTTTAATCTAATTAATAATCTATATGTTAGATTTATGGGTGCTCGTGCATTTTTGCCGATTATTCGTTATACATAGATATTTATGTATATTGACTGTGAAATTTGGAAAGATACTGCCAATACTGTATCAGAAGTTTGATAGATTTTGTAGAAGTGTGAAGGAATGGATTTTTTTAAATTTTTATTTAGTGTGGGAATAACAGATTGTTCTTTATTTAATTAGTTAATTAACAGTTACAAGTTACGAATATGACAGATAAAATTTAAATGAATATGAACTCTGAAATTAAAAGAAGAAATTCATAAAAACTGTCACCAATTATTCTTGCAGTCAAAAATCGGTAGTGGAATATAAAATAACAACAAAACTGTCACCTTCTTTATGAAGTTAATGCCACATGAATTCATTTGAATGCAAATCTAGGTGATGTGCAGCTCCACTGTGTCTTGTATTGTACCATTTTGATAGACTTTGCAGTCTTTTAATGTTTTGAGTATTCACATCAGTATAACCCATTCCATAATTTTGAAAATAATTCACTGCTTGTTGTTTTGAAAAGAAGATATTGAATTTTAATTCTTTTTTGAAAATCCAAGACAAAAACAGAAAAATAACAGTTAGCTACAACTTCCTTACAAAACCTAAATTGGCTTACTAAAAATCAGGGTTAGATAAAAGCCAAGGAAGCTGTTATGAGTGTGCTGCAATGTTATATTTATCCTTTATTGACAAAAAATTATGCTTTGTGGTGACATTACGAAAACTGTTGATGAATAAAAATATTAATTTGGATTATATGTTATTGTAATCCACCGAATTACTAACACAGTATATATATTTCATAACAGTGTTACATTTTTTATTAAATAACATATTTAAAAATTGCTCTTCCTTTTTCAGATCTGTAATTGCACCAATGTTAGTAAGGCCGAATCGTTTATGGTCCAATTTCTGGGGATCTCTTTCTTCAGATGGATTTTATGCTCGATCTGTTGATTATGTGGATATTGTTAAGAAAAAAAGAAAGTAAGTAAGGTGCATTTTAAGCATAGCATTAAAAACTATCCATTTTAATTTAAATGTTGTAGTACTTATTCTTGATGTAGCTTTAGTTATGTAAGCAAAATGTAATTTGTTTTGTTGTAATATTTTTCAGTAAGTGTGAATGACTAACATACTTGTTTATAAACATCAGAAACTTCTGTTCTACTTGATTGGAAAACTTTAGGCAAAGGGGCTAAAATTGCAAAATGATGATAACTCATCCTAGGTTCTGTTCCCAGTGTTTGGATATATACCTTTGTTTCTAGTTTGATAAAAGCATCTCTTTAGTGAGGGTTTCATTTTTCATGGCCATAATCAGTTTAATTTTTCATATGAGCATAAATGGCAACTCTTCCAACTGAAGTGAGAGACTCCCATTTTTTAACTGTATTGCTGCTGTTAGAATTAACTACATATTTCTGATGATTTTATACAATTTGGCTTAACCCATTGATCATGGATACAAACACAAGTTCATACAAATGGAGAATTCAATTCAAATTAAATCATAAATTATAAATGGAATCATGAATTGATGGAGAAATAATCATCGGGACTTTGGCGATTCTGGATTATAGATCATCAATTTAAATCGGTGACCAGACAAAAGCCCACCGGACGAAAGCGCATGCGACAAAAGCCCACAAAAAAGACCCCACTGGGATAATTGCCCACACGACTAATACCCACACCGATGAAAGCGCACATTGAAAAAGCCCACATTGATAAAAGCCCACATAGATATAAGCGCACGCTGATAAAAGCCCACACTGATCTATATGCTGCATTAAAATTAATATTTTTCCCTTTTTTTCTTGAGCTTCACAAAGCAGATTCATGAATAAAGATAAAATAAAAATAATAACAAATAATTGAGCAATAAATTTAAGTAGCGGAACACACTTCATTTTGGACTCCGGCTGAATTAAAATCCTATATGTATATAGAACAGAGAGTCAATCTAAATAATATACGAGGGCTATCCAGAAAGTAGATTACGTTTTGGAATAAAAAAATAAACAAAGTATAGGAAACAAATTTTATTATATACAGATGAAAGCCACACTCAAATACTACTTTTCTACATAGTCACCATACAAATTAAGGCATTTATCGTAGCGATGTACGAGCTTGGAAATTCCTTCGTCGAAAAATTCGGCCGCCTGCGCCTTCAACCACTTCGTTACCTCTTCTTGCCTTCCATCTTGCACAAAACTTGTGGTAACCAAGCTTTTCGCTGATGATTTCGTGCAACAAACTTCGCGAAATTTGTGGAAAACTCAAAGAAAGTTCCGTTATTGTGAAATTTCGATTTTCACGGACTTTAGCATCGACTTTTTCGAGAAGTTCGGCGGTCACTATGCTGGGTCTCCCACTTCGATCTTCGTCGTGAACATTGGTTCGGCCATTTTGAAATCTTATGACCCACTGACGCACTCCACCTTCAGTGATAATGTTGTCCCCATACACTTCACGAAGCTGCCGATAGATTTCTATCGGTTTACAGTTTTTTGCAGTCAGAAACCTTATTACTGAGCGCACCTCGCAGCTCGCGGGATTTTCAATTAACGCAGACATTTCAAACCGTCACAGTATCTGAACGGAGCACAGCACGAACCTCTCACTAGCACGGCTAGATGCAGACTGAGCTGCGCAACGCTCTGACCCCAAGATGGCCGCGCTAGCCCCGCCCCTAGCGGACACAGACGGAAACGTAATCTACTTCCTGGATGGCCCTCGTAATTAAAAACTAATACATGTATGTGTAACTTTGTTTTTATATTTACTTGTTAAATGGAAGTGCCCTCGTATAAGTCCGACAAAGGGAGGTGAAAAGGAATACTGGCCACACTGCTTCTTTTAATTCTACAAAATTATAAGGAGTATAAAATGTATGTAAATTTTCATCATATAATGAAAATAATTTATGAATAATTTAACATTGCGAAAAATTTTGCATATAATGAATTTTAATATGGAGAATTAAAGCCGAACTTTCATTTCAATGAAAAAATAAACGTACCGTATTCTATTATGATTAAGAAAACATTTGTGTGCACTATCACAAACACTGTTTAAATGTGAATTAAAAAAATGGAAATAATCTAGTTAAATTTTGACAACTTAGATTTTACATAAATTAATTTTATTCCCATTCCCACTTGAAATTTCATTTTTAATCATAATAATTATTACTCATAAAATTTTTCAGGAAATCATAGCTATTTTGGATTTCCTGAAAATGTGTGCTGTTTTTAAGTGGGCAGTCGTCTTGTGGGCTTTTGTCTTGCAGTTTTCTAACAGGCCGCTGGCTATTCAGGCAGAAAACCATTGTGTTCCTTTTCCCCCAGCTGTGTGAAAAAGCAGTTAAAGAGAGAAGAGCCTTGATTAGTTGCTTTAATCCTATCGAACCTGGGGTGCCAAAGAACCGCCTCAGAAGGGACAGGGTGGCAGGAGAGCAATTAAAGGGTGGTTAGGAATGAATAAAAGAGGATTTTAAATGGGTTTTTTTGTCAGTTACTAGAAAATAACAATATCTGAAATTCCGCTTGTAACTGAAGTTAACCCCTTTCCTTGCATTTCTTTAGTCTAGTTCTTGAATAACTTTTTATCTAAGGATTTAGTTAGAATTTAAATTATTTTAAAAATTTCAATAACTGGGAAACAAAAGGAATTAAATATTTCTTAACCATTTTTAAAGGGATAATTCACTGTTTTTTCAGTAAAACTGCAGAGTGGGAAAATATGCTAGTTCCTGATTCGATAGTGTCTCGTTTAAAAGTAAAACTACTGAACTATTTCTAAAAAAATTAAATTATTATGTATATTAAAATTTATGTAAAAGTAATACAGTCAAAAGTCGTTAATCTGGACACGTCGGGACTTCTTCGATTCCGGATTATCGATATTTCCGGATTTTATAGATCATTAGTTTAAATCTGATAAGATGGCATGCAGAAATTATAAAATTAAAAATATGAAACCGTAATTTATGAAATAAAGAACAATTATGATCTAAAGGGTATCAAAATTTACGAAAAAAAAAGCTTAATATTTATTAGTTTACTTTATTAAACATTTCTTTCAATGTAAGTTGTTTAAGTTGCTTCATTTTTTATGTGATAATACATTCTCTTTAATTCTATAAACAGACATAATTTCTTGTTCAGCTGCAAAGTTCCTATAATTGTTCAAGTCCTATAATTGCTGTGTCGAAAATACGGACTAATTTGTCAATCGAAATTTTTTTGTTTTCAATAACCTCTGTCACTTTCTTCGCTATCGGAAGCAAATTATAATGACGAGGAATTTGATTGAAATCATATCAAAGACGGAGTACATCGAGATGAAATACTACATTTAGTAAGGAATTATAAGCCAAATAAAATAAAGACATCTGCCCTGAAGATAAGGGTAGTGCTGACAGATCAACTTCCAATTCATTGCGCGGCGCCGCGGCGTTAAAGATAAACAAAGATTAAAGTTTAGATAAACAAAGATATGCCTTTATCCATTTTTTTGCAGCAATTCCACTTTTTGTTTAATGGACTTCGAAACATACTTTTGCTTTGTATATCCTGTAAATATATATCAGAAATTCTATTTGACATAATCGAAAGTTCAAGCTTACTTTTATAAAATTGCTCTAACAGTCTGCAAAAAATAATAAGCCGAATCCAATTCAAAGATTAAGGAACAACGCAATCTGCAACATTAACTGAAATAGATAATTAGATAATTTTAGCTTAGCATATACCGTCCGTTATGTATTAAACGCGCATGCGTAAACATATTATGCGCATACGCGTGCGCAGAAAGTTTGTAGCTTTGAGGTCCGGATTATGGACTGAATTAGATAATTCTAACTGAATTAGATAATTTTAGCTTAGCTTATACCATCCGTTATACATTAAATGCGCATTTGTAAACGTATTTTGTGCATGCGCACACGCATATTCGCAGCCGTAAAGGTCTTACGCGCATGAGTCATAAGACGCATGCGCAGAAAGTATGTAGCTTCGAGGTCCGGATTATGGGTGTCCGAATTAACGACTTAATTTTTCTTTTTAACTTACATATGGTTGAAAATGCAACCATATGAAAGTTAAAATGAGAAATATGAAACCACATAAAAGTTAAACTATTTGAATAATTTTAATAACGAAGGTTTCTGAACTCAAGAACAAGAGGATTTAAGAACCATGAACCATTGTAAGAAAAATAATCTTGCACATTAAAAATAATTTTTATTTCAATAAAAAATATTATGTTACTTGATTAACTGTAAATGCTTAAAAAAAAATTCATTTTAATTTACCGTAATTATTTATATACAAAAACTTTCAATGAAGCATATTTAAACAGCATTTAGAAACTGAATTTCACTGGGACATTTCTTTTGTGGTTTTTATGCTGTTATTACATGTTAAATATCATTTCGCCTAGATTAAGAAAACGAAACGCATAACATGTAAAAATTTATTATTTAAAAAAAACTACAAAATTAAGGTCATTTTCTTCACCTCGAAATGCATTGTTTTCCCTATACGAATTTCATATTCTGACATCACAGAAATAGTGGCCACATAACTTGTAGGAGATATTTCTTATAACCTCATGTGTTGTCGATTCAGTAGAAAAAATGCTTAATTATGGAGCTACATTTTGAATAATTTTTCATTTATTGAATGAGTTCAAAAGTTTCTAATACCTTGTTTTCTGGCATGAAATATTTCACCTGTTTTTAAGGTTCTTTCCTAAGAATAATTCATTAAGCAGAAGTTAGTTAGAACAAGTAAGGTATACTTCATATTAACAAGTTTATTAGGTCTGGTTACCAAATAAACGTTTTTGAATTCAACATCAAATTTTAAGCATAATATTTTTTTAATTTGTGTCTTAACTTTTATTTTCAAAAAACATGCACGTAATCCGAAGTTTTATATGACAAAAGTTAGTTTAAGAGAAGTGAGACAAATTAACTTA